CCATTTTGCATTAAGTGCCACGAGCTTAATGCATGACGTGTCTCAGGCATTACTTGGACAAGTGCCTTTGTCATTGCTTTATCTTGGTCTGTAAAAAGAGTTTGAGGTTTTTTGTTGTTGTGTGCTTCCAAAAAAGTCTCGAACAACCATTGAAATGATTCAGCTGTTTCATCATACAACAAGGCTGCCCCAAAGATAACAACGCCTCTATAATAGTTAAAACCGGAAAACAATGCTAGAGGTCTATTGGCTTTATTTGTGCAATATGTAGTGTCTAGTGATACAACTTCACCAAAAAATTCATAATCAATTACCATCTTTGCATCCGGCCAAAAGACATTTGTGATTTGCTCCTCCTCATCCATTTGGTACGCATGAAAAAAAGATGGGTTGTCTACTAATTGTTGCTGAAAATATTACATTAGACAATCGATTTCTCCGTATACCATTCCCCTTTGTCTCTTTGCCTTCAAGTAATTTTTTACGTCTAGGCGAGTATACCCAACATTAGCTTGGTATCTGGCAAGTGTGCTCATTAGTTGAAATGATGCCTTTTGTCGCAATTCGGATGCCTCAGCCAAATCAATTTCATGAGCTTGGACGTTAGTTATATTACGATGAGAAGCAAGCATGTGTGTTGTATTTGGCAATTGTAATGAGTGATTATGCTCTTCAACAAATTGATGAATAACATATTTATTATTGTTTGCCAAAGATAATGCTATTCTTGCAAGACATTCAGTTCTAGTTTCTGGTCAATGCTTTTTCACTTGTGGATCGCTTTTATCTTCTTTTCGATGCCCCTCTTTGCAACAAATATATCTGCAACCCGTAATAACACCATCTCCCTTTCGCTTGTTAAAATATTGTTTTCTCACTCTAAATTCTGTTAGCCTTCCATATTCACACCAAACTTGCCATGCTTGTTTAAGACTCTCAAACTCTAACCCGATACTTAGTTTCCTTGCGACATCCATCTTTGTGACTATCTCTATACTCCCATAACATTACAATAAACATGATAAATAATGATTCCAGTAATCTTAAATTTAAAAAATTATGGAATATATGTGTACCTTTAGGCTTTCTCTATTTGATGATGATTTTTGCTAAAGAAGTAGGATAAAATGTTGTCAAACACTATGAACTTGTCAAAGCTTTTCCTCCCCAATGAACTTCCTTCATCAAAGCTTCTTAGAACATTTGTTTCTTTAGTGTTTCTTTATTCAAAAGATTAGGGAAGGTGTCTTTCTTCATAAATATGTAACTACAAATGCATTTGGCGCCAATTTATCTGCTCAACTCGCTTAAGCTCCTATTTTCGCTTAAGCCCCTTTTCGCTTCAAAATTAGCTTAAGCGAAGATATTCGCTTAAGTGAATTCTTGCTTAAGCCAGAAAATTCGCTTAAGCAAATTTTACGACTGTTGATTTTTAAAAGATTGAATCTTCTCCTTCCATTTTCATTTTCAATCTTCATTTCTCTGTCTCCTCGCTTCAGCTCCGTCTATCTGTGTCCTCTCTTCCAAAGCTTGAAAGGCTTCAGAAATCCCTCCTTTCAGGTACAATACAAGACCTTTACCCTTGTAAATTTTTTGTACCTTTGTTGCTTTTTATTGTATTCATTACGGTATATGGTGTTAGATTGTTGATAGAGATGTATTGTTTCCATGGATTATGACCCTTCACACTCATTTTATATTGTAAAGAAAGACATTGTTAAACCTGATTTGTGTTGGACTGATTGAAAACTTTATTGTTGGTTGGACTAAATACCTAAGCCCCTTTATTTTCTACGCTGTAACTTTTGCTTAAGCGCCTATATTCGCTTAAGTGATTATGGCTGAAAAATGTTCTCTAGCTTTGGTTGCAGGATGGCACCAAAAAAATCTATTCCTCAAAGAAAGAAGCAAAGGGCAGAAGTTGGCCAATCCTCACAGCAGTTTGCCGAACCTATTGATGAACAACGATCATTAGTTGAAACTCAAACACAAACAGAAATCATATCATGGGATATATATAGGTTCAAAATCAGAGCCAAGGCTCAAAGATTTCTTGATTTACAGGCTAGAGAATTGGTACCTGAGAGGAAAGTGTCTTTAGTAGAAGGAGAGTATGAAGATTTTATGCAAGAGATTAGGAGAAGAAAACGGGAATTCTTGGCCAATCTCCCCAACCACATTCATGAGGTGATCGTGAAGGAATTTTATGCAAATACGTGGCCTTTGATACCAGATAAGTCAGAAAGAAGGTCTTAGGTTCGAAGACATGTAGTTATGTATGACAGAGATGCAATTTCAGCTTTGTTAGGCAACCCTCTTACCTTAGAACAAGGAGAGCTATGCCAATACCAGCAATGCCGAAAACGATTCTTAGGTTTTATGGATAATAGGGTAGCTGAAGTCTTATGCATCCCTGGAAAGTCCTATGAAACAAATGCAACTGGGAAGCCACTAAGATTCAAGAGACAATCTTTGAATACTTTGGCTCAAATTTGGTCATCCTTCCTCTTTGCCAACATAGCCCCAATTACACACACCTCAGATATTCGGATGCCTCGAGCATATCTCATATACAACATCATGCAAGGGATATTTGTTGACATAGCAACAATCATTTCAGATGAGATACATCAATTTGTGATCTCCAACGTATCCAGTACTGCATCAGCTACAAAACCTTTGGGATTTCCAGCACATATCACTGTCTTATGTGCTTCCCAAGGTGTCACCATTCCTGATTGCTCCACTCAAACTATTAGTTTGAAGAAACCAATCAATTCTCAGTTCATCAAAAATTACTGCATCAATCCATTAGAACAGCCTGCAGGACCTTCATCTTAACCCTCATCATCTGTGTCACCTACATCACAGCCAAGACAACCACGAAACAACCATTCATGCCTAACATGCCACAAACGGATTCAAGCGTTCTACACCATCAAAATCACATAGAGCAACAATTGGCAGCAAATAATCGTGCTTACACTCAGCTAAATGAGTCTTTCTACAGGTCAGCTCTTCTCTCATTTAATATTTTAAAATATCTAATCATATCTGCAACACATTACCTTGATCTTCTGAATTTCACAGGTTCATGCTATATCATGGTGAGACATTAGCTTTCCCATGGCCCACAACAGAGCTTTTTGCAACAACTGTATCATGGCCTGGAGACAACCCTACCTTTTCACCTGAAGAAGAAACTCCACAGGATCATGTGTCACAATCACACGAAGAAGCGTTTGATGACATTCAGAACAATGATGACACTGAAAGGAGAGATGTAGAACAAAGTCAACACTTAGAGGAAGAAGGAGGACATGATGAGGGAGATGAGCTACAACCCATGGAAGATGAGGATGAGGATAATGTAGAAGTTGGAGACCCATGATTAGATTTTAGTAATTAAACATTTTTTGTTATGTAATGAATTGTAGTTTTAGTTTTTCAATGTCCATAGTTTTCATTGTTAGATTTTAATATTTATCTAAAGTGGTGCTTATATTATAAACTCTTTTGGATGATACCTATGCTTCAATACTTTATGCAATTGTCAATACTTCTTCTGTATCTGGGCTAAATATGTATTTATAAACTCTTTTTCTATGTAAGATGTGAGTTGAAATGGTATTATATAATGTAATAAATTGTACTTGACTCCTCTTACATGTTGTCTGTGTCTGCATAATTTTTTCAAATTCTGATATATTTGCTTAAGTGCACATATTCGCTTAAGCGAATCTGTTTTCGCTGAGAAAATTCAAATCTGGGCTCAAGCCCTGCAACTATTCGCTTAAGCTAATTCAAATTCGCTTAAGCCATTTTCTATGTTTGAAATCATTGCTTTCTGCCTGAAATTCGCTTAATATTAATTAAAATCGCTTGTCAAGGCTTAAGCAAATTTATAATAGCTTAAGCGATTTAGGTTCCGCTTAAGCAAAAAAAGTGCTTGAAATACATGACTTTCTAATCTATTTTCGTTTAGGTTTAATTGTTTTCGCTTGGAAGGGCTTAAGCTAAATTAAAATCACTTAAGCGAAATTAGGGACTTAAGCGAGACATGATTCTGCTTTCTTGTGACTCGCTTGGACGGGCTGTCAAGCCATTTCTCTATTGGCTTAAGCCTTTCTCCATGCTTAAGAGAATTTGCTACTAATTTCGCTTAAGCAAATTTTGTCGCTTAAGCAAAAATGCACTGCGCTCCTTGCAGTTTCTGCCAACACTGAAGAGGATCCGGATCCGTTGGATATAGAAGAGGGAGACACTGTCTCTATATCCTAAAAGCATGATAGGGGAGGGAGGGGGCACTCCCACTGTTTTAATCGGTCACCCATTCTGTTGTGAGACGTAATTTAAAGTTATTTTGCATACTAATTTCCATAAACTCATTTTTTCAATCTTTTACCATAAAAATGACTCATTTTTATATTTTATTCTCAAGTTAACCTTTTTTCCTCTTAAATAAATTTACTTTCCATGGGTCAAAAAGTCGTGTCCAGACACTGAAACCACCTTTCAGTATGCATTATGCAACGTGATTTACACGAGGGTGGTGGTTGTCTCGATATTAAATAATTTATAGTCAATATAATATATAAAATTTATATGACTTACATGTCTAACACATTAAAAAATAAAATTTAAAAAATTAAGACATACAAATAAAAGTTAAACTATATATAAAATTAAATTAATAAACTAAAAATTGTATATTTACTAATTTATTTTTCTAAAAGTTATAAATTTTATAATAAAATATAATACAATATAATATATTCATATTTTGAAGAAAAGCACTGTAAATCTGTAATGACCTTTTTTAAAAAAAAATAAAAAATTATGTCTTTAAATACATGATAAAAAAAATGAGCTAATTCTTCACCGTACTATCAATTTATTAACTTTTGCAAGTAACGATCAAATTTCAACGAGACTTGCAGTTGAGGAGTGCGACAACGACAAGTTCCCCTGTCGAACAGTTTATAAGCCTAATTGTTCTCGACTCCATGGAAAACAAACACGTAGCAGTCTTTGCTTTCCCCTTTGGGAGCCACCCTATGCCTCTCTTTAACCTTGTCCTCAAACTAGCTCACGCCGCTCCACACTGTTCATTCTCCTTCATTGCCACTCACAAATCCAATTCCATCCTTTTCCCAAAACACCATCTCCCCAATAACATTAACCCCTTTACCATAAGCGATGGAATCCCAAAGGGTCATGTGCTAAGCAACGACCCAATGGAAAAACTTGTTCTTTTTCTCAAAACTGGTCCTCACAACTTGCACAAGGGTATAGAACTGGCCGTTTCCCACTCAAAGAAGAGAGTCACGTGCATCATTGCCGATGCTTTTGTAACCTCTTCTCTCCTCGTGGCTCAGACCCTCGACGTTCCTTGGATTCCGGTTTGGCTTCCCTTTTCATGCTCAATCTCTCTATATTTTTACATTGACCTGATACGCGAGACATGTGCAAACAGTGCTGGAAACACAACCCTGGATTTCCTTCCCGGGTTGTCTAAAATGCGTGTTGAGGATATGCCAAAGGATATTCTCAACGTGGGTGAAGAGGAGACACTGTTTTCAAGGACACTTGTTTCATTGGGTAAAGTGCTAGCTCAAGCTAAAGCAGTTGTTATGAATTTCTACGTGGAATTAGACCCACCCTTGTTTGTTAAGGACATGAGATCAAAGTTACAGTCTTTGCTTTATGTTGTTCCTAATCCTTGTCCACTATTGCCATGTTCTGATACAGATTCAAGTGGGTGTTTGTCGTGGTTGGATATGCAGGCTTCTAGATCAGTAGCGTATGTTTGTTTTGGGACTGTGGTGGCACCACCACCCCTTGAGCTTGTGGCAGTGGCAGAGGCATTGGAAGAAAGTGGGTTTCCATTTCTTTGGTCTCTCAAGGAAAGTCTATTGGGTCTTTTGCCAAGTGGGTTTGTACAGAGGACCAGTATGCGTGGGAAAATGGTGTATTGGGCTCCACAGGCCCAAGTTTTGGCCCATGGTTCGGTAGGGGTTTTTGTGACCCACTGTGGGGCTAACTCTGTGGTTGAGTGTGTTTCTGGTGGGGTGCCAATGATTTGCAGGCCATTCTTTGGAGATCAAGGGTTAGGGGGAAGAGTGATTGAGGATGTTTGGGAGATTGGGGTGGTAATGGAAGGTAAGGTGTTCAGTAAAAATGGGTTGCTTAAAAGCTTGAAGCTGATTCTGGTGCAGGAAGAGGGTAAGAAGATTAGAGACAATGCTCTTAAGGTGAAGAAGATTGTGGAAGATGCAGCTGGGCCAGAAGGACAAGCAGCACAGGATTTCCAGACTTTGGTGGAAGTAATTTCTTGCTAGATAGTGTGAGGGGAAGTCGTTAATTAGTATTAGAATAATTGATTATTGTAATCACTGATTATATAAAATAGGTTTTATGTTTAAATATATTAAGTTAAAAGTAACTTTAAAATAATTTATTGTATTTGAATTGTATAAATAAATACTTTTTATGGTAAAATTTTATAAAATTACATGTAATAGTTAGTTTTATATTTAAAATAGTTAATTATGAAGAATAAAGTAAAAACTAAATTGATAAATTTAAACATAATTAGTATTTTTTATCTTAAATAAATTATTTTCTTTATAAAAATAATTTAAATGTAAGATAATTTTTTAAAATTTTATCAAAACAATATTTTAAAAAAGAATCATTTTATTCAAGAAATACTTAGGAGTGGTGTAATGCGTGTCCTTAATAAAATATATTGTATGGCTTTGTTTAGACGTTTGCTTGATAGTGATGTAACATCGATTAATGAGCGACAATTTAGGGCTATTTAATTGTATTATTTTTCATTAGAAAATATGTTTTTTAGATTAAAATTAATAACGAATTCACTCTTAATTATTACTTTAGTTATTTTCTAAAGCTATTGAGAAGTTATAAAAAAGTTAAAAACAATTTATCTTTAATTTCTGATTTTTTAATAATCTTAACAAACAACTAAAAAAAAAATTAAGAAGTGCTTTTTTGAAGGAAAAAAAAACTTAAACAAATGAGCTCTAAATTACACACACACACACACACACATATATATATATATATATATATATATATATATATATATATATATTAATGATATCTAGAATATACTATGATTCATCTATTTCGTAGAAATAATAACGATACAATGCATAATTATGTGAAAATAAGATAATAAGTCGAAAGTAAAAAATATATATTATTTTAGATGACTTTAAAAAATTTATCCTCTTACAAAATTATTTTTTTTGTTTGATTTTTGTTTTAAAACGAATATTCTATAAAATACTTTTTTGGTATAGAATGGTTTATTCCATATTTTTTATTTGATCTTTCTAAATAACATGAGTTTTTTTTCCTTGATTCTTCCTTTTAGCGGACCATATTAAAAATTTATAATATTTGTAAGAATAAAATGAAAAAATTTATGATGTTTAAATAAATTAAATAAAAATTAAAAAAGTATCTTATGAAATAAAAAGCTATATGATCCAACTACTATGCATGGACCAAAACAAGGTAGAAAAATATTAAGAGAAAATGTTACTACTTTAAGTATTTAATGACATTAACGATGGAATAAAAATAATTTTTTATGAAGAGTATAATTAATATATTTTTTTCTTATGGTTTTAGAAAGTGTTTTTAAATTTTTTAAATAAAAATAAAAATTTATTGTTTATAAATATTTTTTAGTAAATTAATTAAAAATATTTTTTTAATAAAAGTATTGGCACATTAAAAATGTGGCTTCAGCACGTAAAAATGACTCTTGTTTCTGCGGTGTTTCAGTGTTTGTTGGTCAAGGACACAGAGTCAACGTCTAAGTTTGTCGGTACACGGCTTGGTAAAGTTGAAGTAGGTGGGAAATAAAATATCAAATTACATTTAATGTTCTTTTTTTCTTTGTAATTGAAAACTATAATTTAAAAATTAATAGTTTTAAAAAAGAATAATGTAAACTTCAAAGGTTAAAAACAATATCAACATAATGTCAACTTTAATAAAAGAACACTAATACAGAAAAAAATAGAGATGATTAGTGATTTGGATCAAAATCATTTGTACCAAAAGGAGAAAAAAAATCAAAATTTAAAGGAAAAAATTAATAATATTATTATTTAATCAAATTAAAATTTTATCTTAACAAAAATCTACATTTAATATCATGACTGATTATTAAAAAAAAACTTTAATTTTAATTAAAATATAACATGATGACTAATTAAAAAATTTCACCGAAGTTGTTTCCAACCTAAAAAAACATACAAGAGGCTACTTGTCCCTTGGTTTTCCTTCCACCACTTGGCTTGCTCCTTTTCTTGTTTCATATCCTTTCCACAACACTTTCTCGTTTTGTTTCTTCCCTCAGACAACCCCAATAATTGATGGCTTCTTTCTGGTTTCTCCAACTCGCTCTCAAATGCTTTCATCATTTCGCATGGTATGCATATGAATGCAATGCTTGCATATTTTTCATCTCTTCCTTGTATTCCTCACTTCATATTTCTTTATGATCACTTATATATAAACAATAAAAACTTACACTCTTTTTGTCATATTACTTAGACAGCATTGTAGATCCTCTCTTACTAATTCTCTGTCTTTTTCTCCCCACCTTTTATAGGCCTCTTCTTGCTTTGGTGTATCCTCTGTAAGTTTCTCAACGTTGTTCTTTTTGTACTTTGCAATGTTTTCTTGACCCATTTATTTGTTTATGATTTTTGTTTATAAGGGTGACTTTTTGCATAGTTGTTTGACTATTGTTTTGGCATGCTGCTGTTGTTGTCTGTGATTATGGTTTGGTGTGTTCTTGACAGATGTGCTTCTGTACAAGCAATTGAGACTGATTCTTCTAAAGAAACAAGGGATTTGATCTCTTATTGGATACTTCTCTCGTTAATATACCTCTTTGAGTATGCTTTTCTGAGGCTTCTTCAATTGTAAGTCGTTTACCTTGTAATAAGGGAAGAGCATTTTCATTTTTCCAATAATAGGAATTTAGTAAGTTCATTTTCTTTGACTGGAATTGAGAATCTGATTGAACTCCCAGTTCGATGTGGGAGGATCAATCAATGCAATTCCACTGTGTCACATAAATTTCCTAATACTATAGAGGGAGGACATGGAATCCCTTCAAAGGAATACACCTGTTATGTATGGTTAATTTTTCTTAATTTAAATTTTTCCTAAAATAAATATAAGAAAAAACTGCTAAATAAAGGGAGTAAGTGCTATACGAGTACTGAAAATTTGCTCCTGCACTCTCTGTTTGTTTTGTTCTTTTCTTTTTGTGTGTGTTTGCTCCAAAGCTATCCTCTATCTGACAACTGAAAGCTAATTCCTGTCAAGGTGTAGAGATTGTTGAAATGAGCTTTACCTCTTTAAACAAAGCCTTTGCTGCTCCATAAGAAATGAAATGTCGCTTCAAAAGCTGTTTCTTTTTTGCTAATTTACTTTACTCTCCACATCACTCATGGAACCTTGATTCTGCAAATACATAACAGTTTGAGATCTTTGAATCGGTTGATTCGGAAGGGTAACTCCTGGTTGTCAAAGCACAAGTTCCATTCTTTACATGGAGCTATAACCAAGATGAATGTTACTACTCACAGAAATCTGCAGTAAATATAGTGCCCTAGAAGATGTATGCTACAATATTCAAGGTTTTTCATGATAAAAATGAATTACATAATACTGGTTACTAAACTAGCATATTTTTATATTGTGCCACTGGTCCACAACCATTTTCTAATACATGAAGTTTATCCTGTTAATGTTATACTTACAAAATACAAAGCTTGTTTTGAATGTCAAGAGTCGGTTTGCAAACTATTATTTTGTCACTTTTAGCGGTATCTTCATTTTCTTAAGTTGGTATTTTATAATTCACTATCAATTATTGATTTTCATGAACTTAATAATGTACAAATATCTAGTTAATTTTTCTCTTCAACGTCTCAACCAACTAATAGAAATAAAATTATGCTTGTAGATATAATTATTTCAACTTAGTGTTTCTTGACGGTTAATCTAATGGTTCTTTAATGTTGGAAACTTGGAATTGTATTAAATGTCACGTGATAATTGTTAAATAAAGTTAGTCATAGCAAATGATTTCTCTTTGCAATTTTCGTATGTTTTTAATCAATTTGCGGATTTGTTTAACCTGTCCATTCCCATGTTTAACTGTAACTGTAACACCAGGTTCCAGTTCTGGCCTTACATTAAGCTAGGGATCATCTTCTGGCTCATCATACCAGACTTTGGACGAGCTTTTTATGTCTATAATAACCTTATTCGGTCATGCATCTCCATAAATGCACAAGCAGTCATATGCAGGTTAAATAACTGGAGGAAGTTTTTTGTCAAGAAAGATAACTTTTTACTGCATGCAGAGAGATACATACAAGAGAATGGAACTGAAGCCTTGGAGAAGCTCATAGCTAGCGAGGTAAATGGCTATGTAGCTGCTTTAGGGTTGAGCACAAACTTGACAAAGGCTAAAAGTTTCTTTTTGCTATAACTCTAGAAATAATTTAGGGAAGCAAATGTGTGTACTCATGAAAATGTCTGGTATTGGCAATTGAAAATTTCATCTAATTCTGGTTTTTTACCAATTGAAGAGCACAACTTGTAAACATGATGCAGAAACGACAAATGCAGTTAGAGCTATTGATAATAAAGAAGTGCAACAGGTAAAGTTCAGATGTTACTTGTGCCGTTGTGACATCAATATAACTCTTGTTATAAATTCCTGTATGATTCAGTTCCATCCATCCAAGTCTCCTTGTGAGAGTAGTCATTGAAAGAGCATCTTGTGCAGACAAGTGGAAAAAAACTCCAAGCAGAGCACAAAGACATCGGGGATTTGGAGGAGATTGAGAAGAAAGAAATTTCTGTAGGCAAGCAAGTAAGGTTTCTTATAGTATTCACTCAAAATAGGACTTTCTCAAGAACCAATTTAAATTTAAGCCTCCAGACCATGCTAAGAGGTCATTTGCGAAAAATTTACGCTTGGATATACATAAGAATTGTGTGGATATGGTCATGATCCATCATTCTGCAGTAAAATTCTTATTTTCATTTGAGGTATTTATGTATTTTCCTCAAAAAATTAATTACTGAATCTTTTTTATTTAAATGAAAGCTAGCCATATCTTGCTTTGTGTAACACAACCATCACACAGTAAGAACACACTGTGGCCACAGACTACATAGGATTTCTTTAAACTGCATGAGTTAGTGGTGTGCTCTTTTGATTTTTCCTTCTGCTTTTCGTTGATTCTACAGTTATTGTAATTGTTTGTTAACAAGGGTTCTTTTACTACATTTCTTTTATTCTTTTTCTTTCAATGGCAAGAAAAGGTGAAACTATGTGGGAAAGAAATGTGGCAAATGTGAGAGCAACTAGTGAATGTTCAACATTTTCGAAGTTCGCTACCCGTAGAAAATGAAAGAACCATATTTTATTTCCTACCGTAAGAAGCTTAATAATATTCACTCCTCTTCTCACAAGAGGTCTTGTGTTTATGAATTATCCCCTCCCTTAAATGCATGATAACCATAGTAATATATTAAAGATTTTCAAAAATATGTATGCTGCTAATTATATTCGATTGCCTTACAATAAGTGCTTCACCTTTGTGCGAATCTTGAATATTGCAGGCTATTCCTGCCATACCTAACCTTGAACCAAATCAGAAGAACTCTTCATCAGCCATGGTGGAAGGCACAGCTGGTGGACAGCTTCCTCAGAGTTCTACTTCTAAAAAGGAAGTACAGAAAGAGTGGGCTTGCGCTTTATGTCAAATAACAGTTACTAGTGAGAAAACCTTGGATAGCCACGTACATGGAAAAAAACACAGGGCTAGTTGTGAAGCTCTAAAAGCAAAAAATCAACCTGTTCCACAGAAGCAGAAAAATCAATCCAAAGAGGAAGTGAAACAGAAGAACGTTATCAATCAGAAAAATTCTCAAACCAAGAATGGAGAGAAGGAAAAAGAAATCAAGGATCACAAGGTACAAGGACAGCAAAGGAACCCAAGTGAACCTGTTGGTATGAATCAATCCAAAATTAGATGTGAAGTATGTGATGTTACTTGCCCTAATGAGGTTGCTATGATCGCCCACTTAAATGGGAAGAAGCACTTGGCTAAAATTAAAAATTTAGTCTGAAATAAGTATATATTTACTAAGTGGTAGATGAGTTTAGGTTGATGCAACAAGTGTTGAAATGTCAATAGGGATATTGCTTGAAATTTCAAAGAAAGACCGTGTAGAGAGCCTGCATAATTAGTATTTTAGTGCCACCTTGTTCCATATGATTCATATATGCATCGTTCAAAGTTACTTCTTTATTTCTGGAATTTCTAGTTCACAACTTCACTGTTTACTTTTGTTGGAGACAGCATATTATGGAGCATCTATGAGCTACCCAATTTCCACATGCACCCTTGTTTTTCTTTCTTCTTGATGTTCAGCAATTTGCCAATATCTTGATGGGTCAAAACTCAAGATCAAGACTCGTCTATTTAGTATTTGTTGCTTGACATCAGTGAATACCATAGTACTTCACTGTCTATTTGGATTTTATTTCTTTTTCCTGGAGAGTTATTTTGTTGAATAGCTTTGATTGTCTTGTTTTATGTATAACCAAAGATGAAGGTCATTAAGATAATTTTTTTTTAACAAACACTAGGGAAAGAAATGAATTAAGTTAGTATCATAATGATAACGATAAACTAACAGCATTTTATGTCATTTCACATATAAAACAAGTAGTGTTACTAGTATATTTAAAAAAGATATAAATATATTTTAATTTTTAAGATATTAATGAAATTACAATCGTAAATTTAAAAAGGTAACTTTTTAAGTTCACGAGTACTGCACCTATTTTTAAATCAGTTAAATATTATGTTTTTATTCTTATTTTATTTTTACATTAATAAAATAAATTATAATATCAATTAATTTAATTCTTTAAATATTTATGAGAATTTAATTTTTCAAAATTTTTATAACATGAAATAAATCCTTCAAATATCAAGACAGATTTTTTTTAAAAAATTTTTTAGAAATATTTATTAGACTAAATCTTAAAAAGAAATACTAAGTGTCAAATAATTGTCTAAAAACCTAAACAATTACTTTTCTAAAAATAATTATAATAATTTTTTTTAAATTATAAACTGATTTGAATAATATCCACCCAATCTATATTATAATGAACAAACTTTAATTAAAACATTAGAGTACATACCTGCCCAATGCATGGATACGAATTCTAGCTGGTACCAAATTTGGGGGGAGAAAAAATTAATGTGTATTCTGCTCTATTCCACGCCTCAAGATTTATTCAGCTTTGAATTTTTTGGTTAAAATGTCTTAAATTTTTATAGTGACACCGTTAATTCGTTTATTGTATGTTTGAATTTAACTTAATCTTTATGCATATAATTATTTCGATCTTAGTTCTCAGTCTATTTTTATAACACCGCCAATTGAAAATACAACTCAGCAAAATATAATAATCAAATTGAAATTAATTATCCGAAATATTATCTTTTCAGTCTAATTTGATTATTGTAATTCATAATAACTGTCTATAATAGCAATAAATGACAAGAATGATACTAAATGATTGTACTTGTAAGAATTAAGTTGAAAACTTTCTTGGTTTAAGAATCAAATGAAAAATGAATATTATGTTTCGATATTAAAAATATATTTTAATGTTTTTTCCTTCCTTCCACGCTCAATGGTCAATTTCCTAGAAAAACGCAATGGTCAACTTTCAAGCTAAACCTGAAGCCATTGTTGACATGGCAAATTTACGTGGATGGATAAGGTGTTAATGGATTAGGCTCCACGTAGACCCTCAGTTTAGAAAATAAGCCGAATAATCAATTAGTCCACGTATGAGACCAAAAGTGGGAAGAGAAAAAAAATAATAAAAGAGATGATGATAAGGAAAATGCATTTTATTTTATTTTTTAAAAGAGTGCAAAGGTTTCAGAAACAATATACATCACACGCTCTGGCTATCAAGATTTTTGAGAGGTTGGCATTGCCATGTTAATCTTGCTGCCACCAGTTGAATCCTTCCATTGTTGAGTTATTGTTTTCATCTGTGTATAGAAGTTAACCCCAGCCTTGCCTGTAATTCAACAATGCATATCAAATTCAAATCAATTAGTATAATAAGCCTAAATTCAAAGTAAAATTTAACTTTTGAATAATATAAGTGACAAGAAAAATAAATGAAGAGCCAACTTTGGGAGAAATCACAATACCATAGAAATTGAGATCGCCAGCAAATGATGCCTTGTTGCCTGTAAATGAGAAGAAGGGCAAAGGAACTGGAATGGGAACATTGATGCCAACCTGATTCAAATGCAGTGACAACCCAATATTTAGGTCCTATTTGGAAGAGCTTATAGAGACTTTATGAAAATAGTTTATGCTCATATGCTCTTTTCAGTTTATTCCAAAATATTTATGGTCAAATATCTTTGTGTAATAAGAACTTACTGAATAGGCGGTTAATTAAGCAGTGTTTCTAAATGCACCCTTATTCATGCAAAAATGAACATCTTACTCAGGTAACATTACCTGCCCAGCTTCAATCTCAGTCTGAAATTTCCTAGCAGCAACCCCAGATGTAGTAAATATAGAAGCGCCATTTCCGTACCTGTTGGAAAAGTCAAGTGTAAGAATAGATAGCAATTCAAGAGAAGGCAATGACAAGAAGTTGTTAACAGATACTTGTTTTTGTTGATGATGTTTATGGCCTCTTCCAAGCTATCAGCCTGAAGTTTAAAAGACAACAGAAAAACACTGTATCAGCATATCTGTATATTGAGTCAAAATGAAAAGTTCAAGATAGATGAGTCTCGGAGGTGGAAATATTTTCAATTTAGAAATAACTGACCCCTCAAATGGTTAAATAATTCAATAAGTGGTTACTTATTAACCACTTACCATGCTTGCTGAAGGGCTAATTGTTTCTAAATAGGAAAAATTCTACCAAGAATTATATTTTGTGATTTTTATGGAATAATATAATTCAAAAGATGAAACAAACAGACAGACCTCCATGAAAAGAAGAACAGGGCCAAAAATTTCCTCCTGCATGTACCATGTTAGAGACAAACAAGTTTAGTATACATCTAAACTTCAAGTCTATTTTGACGGAATTCTTTTAGAAGATGCTTAAAGATTGGAGATTAGTGAGTAACCTCGTAGCATTCCATGTTGGCAGTGACATCTGATAAGATGGTTGGGCCAATAAAATTGCCAGATTCATAACCTGGGACCTACTTGCCATGCATGTATGGATTGATAAGTATAAGGCAGAGTGCAACTATATTCAACCATTGTGTTTGAAAAGGCAGATGAGGATGTAAAAATTACCACTATATTTCTTCCATCAAGCAGCAGTTTGGCACCACTTTCAACCCCAGATTGAACTAATCTGTGTATTCGCTCCTTTGCCTGTGCAGCCAATAAGAAGAATATTCAAGAAACATAAGCCAAAATATAGTTAAAATTGGTGTGGAAATGAGATGCACTGAATAGCCATGCCAGTAATTCTTCAATGATACTCTAAAGATTTGCTATCAAGATTTTTAGTTCGAACCTGCTTGCTGATGACTGGACCAAGGTCTGTATCAGGTTCAGTTCCTGCATTTACTTTAAGAGCTTTGGCACGCTCTATAAGTTTAGCTTCCCTGCACAAATATTATGAAGGATGTAATTATTGAAAAAATTTTACACTGAAATCAATTTTTCAAGGACAAAATAAAAGTTGAAGTCAATTTCCCTTACACCTGCATCACAAGGAAGTCCAAATACTCAGAATAGTATTTTCTCTGAACAATTTCTCGGAATTATTAAAAATGGCATGATTAATTGGTCATACTAATATTGACATTAAGGTAACAATATTGACAATTTACGAATATAGAGTAATTGTACAAAAGTTCTTTAAAGAAGTTAAATTATATCTTAGTAAAGGAAGAGCGATGATTCCATTTGGCACACACGTCAAAGACATCCAGATCATTTTGGAACAATAACTAGAGGAGCTTTGAATTTCTCCGAGTGTAAGATGCTACAACAGAAGTCATAATAAAACAAATTAAATCCAAACAGAATAGAGAATGATACCATGTCTGTGAGCCACCAACAAAAACAACTGTGCTGAGAGCCATGCACCTTTGGCCAGCAGCACCAAAACCAGCAGCAACTAAAGCATTTACAGTAGCATCAACATTGGCATCTGGCATGACAATTGCATGATTTTTGGCCCCCATATTAGACTGCAAAAAATAGTTTTTTAGTTTCCCAATTTCATATCCTTGCGTGATTACAAACCAAAAATTTTACTAAGGGGAGGTAAAAATTACATGCACCAACCTGAACGCGTTTCCCTTTAGCTGCTGCTCTTGAATATATGTGCATTCCAGCCTTTGATATGAAAAAAAGAACATCAAATAAGCATATATAGTAATGTACAGGGGGACTATCACTTGAAAAGTCTTAGCATTTGAATCATTTGACCTCTTCTATCTATTTTTTCTATCCAAGAAAAGTCAAACCACAAAAATTAATCAGTTCTGCCGACAACTAATGGATTGCTTTTGGCTAGTTCAAGGTCACAAGGGGAGTCACGCATCATGAACTACTATATACAAGCAATTAGTAGATGACTTACAACATTCGAACCAACAAAAGATATGGCCTTGATGTCGTCGTCATCACAAATAGCATTCACAATATCCTGTCACCAATTGCATGATTTAGAACATCAATCAGTAAGAAAAACAATGTAAAGTTAATGCTTCACACATCATAATGTGACAAGTTGTTTCCCTTTTAACAATTGTTTTATGAATAAATCAAATTTATGATAGTATCAACCATTCTTGACATTGTATGATTATATTATATGCAATTTTTTTCAGATTTAAAATCTTGAATACATGATGAAATCACCAAATGCCAAATAAACCCATGAGTAACTTTACTTGGTAAGTATAACAAGAAATAGATGAACAGAAAAAGTTCAATAAAAAAAGGTTGATGACATACATGGGTTCCATGAACTATATTTAAGACACACTCAGGCAAACCAGCCTCCAATGCCAATTCTGCAAGCATTACAGAAGCACCTGGAAAATACAACAAAATGTAAGATAACAAGCAAGCCTTATCCTACTAGGTAATCTAGAGTTAAAATATAACATCCCAACTACATAGAAATTTATTTCTCCACCATGTCATAAGTAACCAAAGACCAAAGATGAGATGAACAATAAAAGTAGATAGACAAACCAACATTTGTGTGCACCATAGGAGTATGTTGAATGTACTATAACCAAGGCAGGAAAGAAAAACTAATAGATGGATAATAAAATTTATTATTCGTTGAAATAACCAAAGAAGAGGTTATAATATTCAGAAAGTTTCCAGTTCGTGGTGTTCACACTACAGTTCAGCATGATAGGTTTGAAATGCTTTAAGCTTGCTTTTAATGACAAACAATATTTGAGTCCCTTTTTCCATTATAATATTACACTATGCTCCAGTGGAAAAGATAATACAAGGGTATTGATAGACAGCCAAAATTAATAGAAAACATCACCTGGGTCTTTCTCTGATGGTTTTAGAACAAAGGTATTGCCACAGGTAACAGCCATAGGGAACATCTGTAGATGATTGAAATTAGAAATTTGTTAACATGTCCAACATAATGTTATGTACATTACATTCCTGTGACAAAATAAGAAAGTTCTGGCTAAATATTTCTACATCATTCAATAAAGTGGACAAAACTGCTTACCCACAGGGGAATCATTGCAGGAAAATTGAAAGGACAAATCCCAGCACAAACACCAAGCGGTTCTCGAATGCTGTAACTATCAATTCCATGTGATACATTGGAAACATACTCTCCCATTTGTAGTGTTGCCATCCCACAAGCATGTTCCACCACCTCTGAATGACGAATTTAAATATGTAGAGAATTGAAAATCATAAAAAATTATGAGCATAATCATTATCACACAACAAAATCTTCTTGAGCAACATATCATAAAGACCAACCTAAACCACGAAATACGTCTCCTTGTGCATCCTTTAATGTCTTTCCTTGTTCAGTGGTCACATTCAGAGCAAGTTTATCCTAAAGCAATTACAAAGTGGTGGTAATTTTTAACATAAGTGAGCTGATATTGGGGTCTCATTGTTTGAGAATGAAAGTGACAGAGCCATAGAATGTTCCAAAATGCTTACCATATCTCTGCGTATAAGCTCTTGGAGCTTCAACATAACACGTTGCCGAGTTGTAATTGGAGTGTTACGCCATGATGGAAATGCCTTCTTTGCTGCAGATACAGCAGCTTTAAACTCTTCATTTGTAGTCAAAGGAACCTGTGAAACAACTTCTTGGGTTGCCTATGATCAGATTATAGAAATGTTAGAATTTTGCATTTCTCAAAACCACAGAAAAGAGATAGAACTACAAACTCAGTATGAAACAAAAAATAAATCCACTTACTGGGTTTATAACATCAATGAAAGTTGATGATTTTGAGTCAACAAAACTGCCCCCAATAAGATTCGGAACCCTCTGATAGAATCCAATCAAAAGAAAGGGGATGAGATGTAAGGAAAAAACTTATTAACAGCAAAATCACTTATCTTAATGCTGATAAATCTATGTAGCATATATTGATTATTGTAAAATCCATTTTTAACTTATTGTCAACCCCTTCGAAATTTCATGTGGCATGGCATGATATAAAATTACATAAAAGACCTAAAGCAACACAATAACTATTTATGATCTAAAAGAAACAAATGCAGGCAGTTGCATGCGTAAGAAAAAGCAACTAACCAAGAATCAGATTTAAAGCCAGAAAACCTCTTCAACTTGTCACTATATTGCCGTAAATAAGTAAGCCAAAAAGATGCCCTCTTATTAATTCAATTTGACAAACTAATCCTAATTACTCTAATCAACAAACCACATGCAAAACGAAAAGAACGCAAACTACAAAACTCATACATAACAAATATACATGCATGCATGTGTACACATAGAGAGAGAGAGAATTCAGCAGTTTCTCTGAAAAAAAATTAAAAATAGAGAAGCAAAATTATCCGTTGACCCCCACTTTTTGGTGTAGAGTAGGTGGAGAACAGTGAGAGATAGGAAGAAAAGATAAAAAAAAAAAGGGAGTGAGAAAATAAGAGATGTGATAAGAAAAAGAAGAGACATAAGAAGAAAAAGGGGTAAGAGATGAAGTTAAGAGAAAGTGAGTGTTGAGATACAAGGATTAATTAAAAAAGAGGTTTCAGCAATAAAGCTTGGATTTTTGCAAAGCAGTGAGGTAGTTAACAGATAACCATGAAAGAAAAATTTGCAAGAAGCGAAAGGGAAGGTTGGTCTTACAGAGGGATTGCGCTTACTGGAAGATGGTTCAGCAGCTGTTGCAAAATGGGAACGCCCCAAAGCAGAGATCTGAGGCCTCAGAAAGTTCAAGTTCCTCACTACAAAACAATAAAAAATTCATCTTCAGTTCCTCACAATCCAAATTCTAAGCATTGATCAATTTGCAGACTCACCTCGTTGAATAGAAAGCTGCAACATCCTCGTTTCGTTGCGCTACGAATGATGTTCGACGAAATTGAGGATGCTAATTTTCTAAGCGAGAACAAACACACTGACAGATCGTAAAGTTGTGTGAGTTGTGCCGTATAAAATGCAGGAAGAACTGCAAAGGACAACTCAATCGCAGACAGGCAAATCAAATACACTCTGAATACTATTAAATATCATTTAATTCAATGATTTTCTAATAAAACGTATATACTTAACAATTTGTCTAGATAAGTGGAACTAACAAATTATTTACCTATTATTCATTAAGTCTTGTCTTATATCTTAGGTCATTAGTTAATAAATAAAAAAAGTATTAAAATCTATATACATTAAAAATTATATTAATATTTTTTTATTTGTGTATGATAATCTTTTTTTGCATGGCAATTTTTAAATTTTTAAAATTATTTTCTTTATTTATTTAATTATTAAATTTTTATTTAAGAATTTCCATTATTTTTTAGTTTTTCTTTTAAAATTAATAAAAATATAAATATAAATAACATTAATTTAATTTATTTTTTGTATGTTTATTTGATAAGTTATCTATCTATGTATATGTTTATACTCTTTTATTTATCTATATCCAACTCTCCATATATTATATAAAAGGCTCTTCCGTTATGATTATTTCGTTGTATTTTTATTTTTCAAAATATTTAAATATATTGAATTATTTATTATTTATTTTTATTATTTTTTCATATGCTGAACACTTCAAATTTATTTTTTTCTAATTTATTTTTAAAATATCTAAACAAACAGTAAAAAAAAGTGCATTAAATTTTATAAATAAGAAATTTTTGTAATTTACTAAACATATTATTATATTAATCTCAAATGGAAAAATAAAAAAAATTATATTAAAGTTTTGTTATCTTTTGATCTATTTTATACAAATTCTAATGAAAAGAGGATTAAAAAAATATGTATTCAAGTTTTACATGTTTAAATTTATAAAATATTTTAATTATATTTAAAATATTGCCATATAAAGCATCGAAAAGTTAAACATAATTGTTATATAGTGTGAAAAGGTATAAGTTTTGTTAATTTATAAATTTCTAATTTATATTGATTTTTTTATTGGATGAAATAATAATTTTTAATAAAATAATTAAAAAAATAGAAAAAATATAATTGTTAAAAAATTATCCAACTAATAGTTATAAATATTCAAGTTTATCTAACTATCAAAGTTAAAAGATAAGCTTCTCATGGAAAGCTCCAATATTTGGCAGTTAGTATTAATCTCCTAAGCTTAAACCTTCTTTCTCACGGAAGTGAGGCCATGGAAAGCCCCAACCCATAATTGTCGCATGATTTTCTTAGTCAACGACACCCAATCCTTATCCCCAACAATTAGAAAACACAAAATAATGCTAAAAATGATTCACTTAATTTTTTATTTTACGTTTCTATTTAAAAATAACGTATTTTGAAAAAGAGGAAAGGTCATGAACTTTCTCTCCCATGATTTTTCAACAAGCAGAGGAGATGGTGGTTTGTGTTATTAGTAGACTCCATAGGGTGACATTTTTCTACCAATATTTTGTTATTGTTAATTTTTTATGGGGAAAAAATAGAAATCTATGATTATCTTATCTTTTAATAATTAAGATACGGATTACAGGGTGAGGAATGCTATATACACATCTCTTTCCATAAATTTGACAGTGCAGATTAAGATATCCTGAGAGTTGCAAGCAAACAATGCTGAGTTCCATATATAGGGAAATTTGTGCCTGCAAGAAGATGCAACCCCTCTACTCCAATAGAGAGAGAGAAGAGAGGAATAAGTTATGTGAATACACATTTTGTAAAGTCCATCACTAAAGGTTATTTGTGCTTGTAAGAATATGCAACTACCCCCTTCCAACCAAGAGAAAAAGAACACTAGGCCAAATAAGGCACAATACATGATCATGTGATCCTTAGTTGAGACTACAATAACTGACAATATAAAATTATCAAATAGCCATAGAAAATGTCCACTCTCCAATGCAAGTTGAGGTCCTTTTACAAATTTAACTACAGTGGAATTTATTACAAAATTACACAAGTAAACCTAAAAAAGTCGAGGCAACTTTAATATGCACAGTGCAAATATTTCATGTAGCGTTGAGTGTTTCAATGTAATTCAATCAACAAAATTATACAAGTAAACCAAAACTTTAGGTTAAATTGCTCATACGTCATTGTCAACTGCATAATTCTACCTGCAAGCACCAGAATCAAATATTTGCAATGCGTGTGCTTCAACCCAATTCATTCAACAAAATTACACCAATAAACCAGAAAGTTAAGAGACTAAACCACTATATTTGCTCCACTGCTTACATAATACACAAGATACATATTCACTAACGTATACTATAAGCAGCATATCCTTGCAACATTAAGTACTCCATTAAATTTATTCAGTTATAAAAGCAAACCTGAAAGTTGAGGCTAGTTTAGCACTACCTTCGTTCTTGTTTATCTATTCAAAGAAATTACACACAATAAGGAATTGGATTATTTTGTTGGAATTATTTACTCAACTTCCTAATATATCCTTATTACTTAGTCTGGTTCTCTTTGACCTTTGAGCTACTTAACCAGTGTAAATGTTTTATTCATTGTACTACTGCTTGGAATTCCTATATGAGGAAATTGTTATTACTGGAAGAATAACAATTAATATAATTTTTAACTTCTATATGGACAAATAAACAAGAACAAAGGTAATACGTCCACAGCAAATATTCCTTGTAGCGTTAAGTGTTTCCATGCAACCCGTGCAACAATATTATAGAAGTAAACCTATTGTCAATAACATACATTATCGTCCTTGAGACTGAAAATAATCCGTGAGACTAAATGGATCATACACATTATTTTCAACTGCAACCACCAGAATCAGATCCTTGCGACGCAAGGGCTTCAATCAAATTCTCAGGAATATTATAATGATAAACCTGAAAGTTGAGAGACTAACCCCCTATTATATCCATCCTAAATTACAAGCATCAGGATCCAAGCAACATTAAGTGCTTAATTAAATTCCACCACACCTACACTAGTTAACCTGAAAGTTGAGCCCAATCCAGCACGCAAAAGATAAAAATGAAAAGAATATATATAGGCCTTTGACATTATTATTAATTAAATTATGGATAAATACAATTTACACAGAGAAACCAAAAGAGGTGAGAGAAAAACTGATGTAAAGACATTTCTATATAACAACCTTGAGAATTTACAAGGTCTGTGGTTCGGTTTCAGGAGAGCTAACTACTTGATCATCTGGATCATTAGGATAATCTGGACCATCAGGATTATCATCATCATATCCAAAACCCCTACTCACCTCATCTTCCATTTGGTCTATTTCCTCATCCTTCATGAATTGCTTCAGTTCCTCCCTATAAATCTCCAATTGATCTTCCAACGAACACTTCTGAGTCTCGTGATCCGTGATCGTCCACTGCAACGACTCAATCATTTCCTGATCATAATCCAGCTTCTCTTCAGCCATTCTCCTGAATTGAGTGGCTTGAATTTCCGCCGTGCTCTTCTCTCTCTGAAGCCGCAAAATCATCGCCATTGCCTCCTCCGCCGATGACGCAGCCGCCGTCCTCTCCTTCTCAAGCTCTGCACAAGCTGCATTGGCTTTCTTCCTCTCAATCTTCACGAGTTTTCTGAGCGTCTTTACGTCAAACACCTCATCCTCATTACACCCTTCTCTCTCAATCTCACCCTTCCCCTCCGACCCATCTTCGGAATTCGCATTCCCTTTCTCCCCAACAACATTAGAACCCTTTTTAACGGAGGATTTCGAATTGGGGTCACGCCCTTTTTCCAAAGGTGTCGCCTTTGAGTTAGATACTTGGAAAACAAGGTTGTGGAAGCAAAAACGAATTCTGGGTATGCCTCCGGAATCGCAGAGGAAACGAATTGCGGCCTTGGAATGCCACCAAAAGCGGAAAACCTTGAAGCAAAAGGTGCACATCAAAAATAGGCCGAGGAAGTTAAGGATGCGATAGAGGGAGCGGAGAAGAACGAAGCCACATCCAAAATGGGTGAAGAAATTGAACGCGGGAGGGAAATCCATGAGCAGCAGAAGGAACCTCTGATGCAAGAGATGGGAGGGAGAGTCTGCATCTGAGGCGGAAGAGAGGGGGTAGGAACGGAGGAACCAAAGTTAGCGTCAATGGGGAATGGAAAATGTGACGGTGTTGCAGTGTTTGAAGCGCTGAGAGGAGGAAGAGGACGATGGAAGGGAAATAGAGTTGTGGTGGTTTGTGGTGATTTGGACCATTTCAGAGATTCTGTTCAAACCCACATCACATCATTATTTCTTCCATCATAAACTTGTCTCATTCTCCCTTCTAATTTTGCACCCAACTGCTCAAATTCATTATTTTATTATTTTTGTCAAAAATTAACTTACATTAATAGCATTTTTTATTTTTTTATTAGGTGTCGATTTAAATATGTTTTTTTATTTATTTTAAATAATTTATAATTTTAGAATATGAAAATTTTAATTATTTTTTCATCTTATATTTTTATCTAGCAGAAATATTTTTCTTAATTAATAGCTAAAATAACTTTGGCAAGTTTATTAAAAATATTTTACTAAATTAATTTATTTTACCATTTTAAATTAAAATTTAATTATTTTTTCAGATATATGCATTAATACTAGATTGCACATAAATTAAGATAGAAATAATATTAAAAAGGAAAAATGAATGATATAATAATATTAAGTTATAAATTTATTAAATATAATTTATATTTATTAAATATATGAATTTTTATTAAAAAACTAATACTAAACCAAACAATCAATTATTAAAATATTTTAATAAATTAAAATATATACTAAAATTTGATATTTAGAAAAAATAAAAAACATTTCAAAATAAAAGATTCTAACACATTTTAAAGTAATATATTTAATTTGATATATGTATCTATATGATTTTTTTTGTAATTTTCTGTGTTTAATTTTAAATATATATTATTATGAATTACATTAAATATAAATGCATATTAAAAGTATACTTATATTGACTTATTATTTTTCATAAAATATATTTAAAAATAATAAAAACCAATGTATATTAACATTATTTTAAAGTATTAAAATGCACATATATATATAAATACAATCAATATAATAATAAGATATTAATAAATATTGAAATAAAAGAATATTTTATGCATTTAACTAGAGCAAATCAAATTTTATTCAATACAAATAGTTAAATAACAAATAAAACAATACATAATAAGAAAAGCTTATATTACATTGAATTATATATATATATATATATATATATATATATATATATAATTTTTATCAACTTAATAATTTTTTATTACGTAATTTAATTCTAAAATAATTGGTCTGGTATCATCCCTGCTACAAACCTATGTGGACTGTGTTTCAAGGCAATTGGTCTTGAAAAATGTGTAAATTGGGTCTATAAACCAAACAAGCTAATAAACTTCTACAAGGTAGAATGACTTACAGTAGAGTTTAGAAAATATTTTTAAAAATGTAAACAAATACATGCCAGATTTAATCATAAATCAAATAAGTTAGTACAAAGTCTTGCATGAAATAAAAAATAACTGAACATTACTTATATTTTGTCATTTATTATTAATTATATGTTATACTTTCAAGAGTGATGTCGTTAGGGAATTAAAAAAATCATTTTTAAAGAAAATGAAAAATAAATAAATTTTGTTAAAAAATAAAATGAATATGTCTAACTTTTAATTAATAATGAATAAATTCTTATTTTTCTCACTTTATATACTTTCTAATATAAAAAAAAATAAAATCAAATTCTACTTATTTATTCAATAAATTAATTCAATTTTTTTTCTCACTATTTATTTCCTTCTATCACATCAATTATTTTATCCTAAAGTTCTCTTGTTTTTCTCTCTCTCTCTTTATTGTATCACTTTTATACCAATACAATTTCACAAGGTTTTTTGGGCTACAGTTGTAGCTTAATTCCAGCTTTGTATCTTCTGGCATTCTCAATGCTAGACCACTTTGTGGCCTAAGGACTGATTTTTTGTATCTAATATTGATGCCTATGTGAAACTCCATTCCCACACCGCTTGTGTTTATTTGGGGTAATTGGGATCAAACAAGTTGGAGCACTGTAGGAAGAACATTCTAAGAATTGAAAATGAACGAGAAACTAGTTTGGTTTGAAGTCAGACAATTTTCCAGACGCTGTAGTTATGATCACATAGATTAATTTGATTGTACAACAGTCTCTCGTTAATGCCGAGTGTTCTTTTTCAAGACACTGTTTTCTTGATAAAAAATTTCGAAATTCAAAGCGTTGTCTCCAAATAGGAATGGTTTATAGTTGAAGGATGATAGGGGTATCATAAGAAACAAGAAGTGGGGTAACAATTCCACCACTCAATAATCTCGTCACAACAGTTTCAAGCATTTGTTCATACGACCTTCATATTAAATACACAGATGTCAAAATCTAAATCAAGAGAAATATGATTGATACTGTATACATAAAGAAAAGTTTAAATATATTCATAGAGAAAGAAAGAAACATTCAGATAAAATACATTTCACCGTGAGTACAAAAGTGACAGAGAGGGAGAAGCATCGTCAGAAGTTGTAGTGAACCCAGAAGAGTTTGTGTTTGAAGTGTAACTTATTCTTTGGATTTGGCCTTCCTCTGAAGCGTTTATGTTGAATGGGGCTATGGATGAGTGTAGGGGGCCCGAAAGATATGTTGGGACAGGCAAACTTGATGGAAGATTAGGTAAGGGAGCTTCAAAATTAAGCACTTGAATTGCTTGCCTTATTGAAGGCCTATTATTATGGTCAGGGTGAGCACACCAAAGACCAACAATCATCAAGCATTTGATTTGCTCCTCCTCAAAATCCCCATCTAGTCTTGGATCTACTGCTTCAAGAATTGTCCCTCTTCCATAGAGTCTCCACACCCACTCCACAATATTTATTTCATTTTCTTGAGCCTTAAGGTTTATGGGCTTTCTTCCACAAGCTATCTCTAAAGCAACAACTCCAAAACTGTATACATCTGATTCCTTACCAGCCCTTCCTGTGGTAGCACATTCAGGGGCCATGTAGCCCATAGTCCCAGCTAAAGCAGTAGTTTGTGCACCTTTTGCATGGTCCACAAACCTTGCTAAGCCAAAATCACCAAGTTTTGCGTTAAACTCTGAATCCAGCATGATGTTGCTTGATTTTATGTCTCTATGCACAACACATTGTTCCCATTCTTCGTGCAAATACAGCAATGCAGAGGCCAAGCCTCGAGCTATGTTGTATCTCACTGTCCATTTCAACAAGCTCTGTTTCTTGAAAAGATGAACATCTAAGCTTCCATTTGGCATGTACTCATACACAAGCAAGAGTTTTTTTCTTTCATAACACCAACCAATCAATTGCACTAGATTTCGATGCCTTAACTGGCTAATAGTTCTTACTTCTGATGCAAACTCCTTTATTCCTTGATCAGAATCTTCTGACACCCTTTTAATAGCAACATAAGACTTTATGTCTTTAAGATAACCCCTATAAACACATCCAAATCCTCCTTGTCCTAGCTTATGCTCATCTTTGAAATTATTAGCTGCTTGTGATAATTCGGCATATGAATACTTCCTCGGTCCTGTCCCCCTCCCAAAATCCTCTCCCATATACTCTTCCAAATCATGATCTTCCTCTTCACTCCCTTTCTTCCACTTCTTCCATAAGCCAATTGAAACCAAACCGAACCCACTAATCAAAACAAATCCACCGATACCCAATCCCACTGCCAATCCTGTCTTGGTCTTGCTTTTCTGACTTGGAGCTGTATGGGAGGTTGGAGACCTTGGAACTGGTACTCCTGTGCTTGTTGCAACGTTTTCTTGTGCTGCCAAACTTGAGTTAAAATCCCATGAATAAAGGCTGTGTATAGAAGTTGCATTTCCTGTGGCAGCTGAGAAACCAAAAGTAACCAATTCTGGCAAATAAAGTCTCAAATCAACTATAGCAGATAGATGTTGTTGTAGGATGGTGCCACTCTCATTGTCAAAACCGGTGAACACAACACTTAAATTTAGTGTACTAGAATTGTAACTGATCGTAGCCTCATTGACTTTCCCTTCCTTGATTTCAGCCAACCATGTCACATTAGCAACAGATCTCATAGAGTTGATGTCGATGCCAACATGTTCATGCGGTGGATCCCATAAATTCTTATAGATATCAAACTCCACGGCAACAAATGGATTATCAGTTGAGTTCAATGGTTGATTATCAAGTGTCAGACCCATAGAACCTCCTTTTGTGGCATTAGGAAGCTTTGAACCATTGGGGGCAAGGAAGAATGCAATCCCATCTCCATAAACACTTCTGTTCTGTGAATCTATGACAAAAGAGAAATGGGTTGTGAAATCTGTAAGCTTGCGAGTGGTTTTGTCCCACAGTTGCATAGGTTGGTGATATGTGGCTCGACCTATGCTTCCAATCATGCCTTGGTCTTTCTGGTTTCTTGTAAGTTGGATGGTTGGTGATGCAGGGTATGCTGATCCCTCATATGTTATGTTCTGGCCATTAGGATTAAAACTAGTGAAGTTAAAGGATAGAGAGGAAGCATATGGGATTATCAAGAGGAAGAAAATGGACAACATCATTAAGAAGTGAGAGGGGAAATTAAGGTTGGACAACTGGACATATGTTCCTTTTGATGCGGCTGAGACCGTTGCTAGGTGCTAGATTTTGGATTCATTTAACTTCACGTGCATCCTTGGCCACCAATGTTTACTTTCTTGTTTGTTCCTTTCCTTTCCATTTCCATTCTTTATTATATTATTATTGTGTCATTTCTAAGCAAAAGTCGTATAGTTCTAGAAAGGAAAAATGAAAAAAAAGCGGGTTCCAAAGTAAACTACACGGAAATTAGTAACAAGTGGCACTCCAACTAGTCACCAACCAGTTTAAGTTATCGGACAAATATGTTACTTTTTTTCTTTCAATAGCAATCGATTGGGTACTCAAAAGTTTTTGCAAGAAAATTGTTATACTTGGATGAAGAATGAGAATGTTGTGGTCGGAGAAATAAACTGGAAGATGGGCTCATTCATTTCATTAAAAAGTTAGAAAAGTTTACACTGAAACTAATTTATGGTCAAATAATTTGCATGACAACGTGCAAATTTATAATTATAGGTCAACGCAATTCTGGATTATTATATTAAAAAAAATAATCCAAGTCTCGTCACCTCCTTGTAGTATTCAAATGTTTGGTAGTACAATAAAACAGGGACCATGTTTACACTATTTACAGAATAAAAATGTTAGGTAGGTATTGATTCATCTTGCCTTACACAATTTACAGAAGAAGAAAGAAAACAGTGTTAGTTTCTTTCAGTTCATTGAAGCTAAATGCATCAGCTGTATGATAAACTTGTAAAGGAAAAACTTGTGATTAGCTACATAGTAATTCCTTTTATACTTTGATTACAGTTATGGACGACTTGGTGCAACAAATAGACATTCGGGGTTAATTTGCAAAATGTTATAATTAGCCCAATTAAATATGGATTACATTGCAATATTTAAAATGATAGCAGATTCTGTTGATCCTGACCCCATTTTTTTCTTAATATGTCTTATGATGAAGATCGTGTGAGGAGCTTCTAATGACCATGTTAGATAAAACCAACAGTTCGCATAAGTAAGTGTTCATTTAATAAAAAAATTTATGTGAAAATTTATATTTAATTATAAAATTTCTTAAAATAAATTAAAAAGTATTTTAATAAATATATAAAAATTTTAAAATAAAATTAAAATACCATATAAAAATCATAAATTTATTTTATTAATTATTTATAATTTATTTAAATTAATTGTTGCGGATCAAGTCAATGCAAACTTTCTTTAATATATTAATTTATTTATAATATATTAAAGAAAGTTTACATTGACTTGATCCGCAACAATTAATTTAAAGAAATTATAAATGATTAATAAAAGAATTTTTTAATAAAAAAAGAAATATTCTTAATATATTATTTCATAAGACAGCGTATGTTTATACAATAAAAAGGTGAGCTAAAATAATTTTTTGATAAGGTAATTGACCTAAGTAGTGTTAGCTCTATTTGATCTGAGTTTTTTAGTTTTGTATATTTTTCATATAATAGACTTTTTGATTTGATAGATTTTTTGTTCTTTAACTCATATAAATTAGGGTTAAATTAGTTAAGACATACTTGTTTAACAACTTTATTTAAAATAGTGGTACACTGAGGAAATTTTAAAAAGGTATTTTTAAATTCATAAAAATGTTTTCAAAAATGAACTTTAAAAAATAATGAATATTGCCTCAAAACTCTAGTTTTCAAATACTAGCATCTTAAAGCTTAAGGATAGTATTAGATGATAAAAATTATCATATTAATGAGTTGATAATAAATTAAAAAATATATAAATTAATTGTGAGTCTAAAGTATTAATTTTTTTTAGACAAAATTTGAGTCAAATGTTTAACATATGTATCTTGAAAGTTGCAACCTTCGATTATGAAATAAATTAATGATCCTTAATATGTATTGTTAATAGTTATAACGGGTTAGAATATTTTTTATACTCTAAATTTGTCTTTAATAAAATGTTGATATTTAGAAAAAAAATATTTTTTAAACAAATGAACTATTTAAATTTAAAATATATTCTCTTTCTTAAATTAAATTTAAATTTAAAATTTTACAAAATCAAATATAAAGCATTGCTATCTTAAATAATACACTATTTTATATAAAGGTTGTTATTAAAGATTACAAAATATTAAATTTTAATTTTTGACTTATTTAAAGTAAAAAAAAAAGTAAAACTATGTTTGTATTTATTTTTATATATAAAAATTTTACTAATCCATACCTTAAGGACATTATTTAAGAAATAAAAAATATTTTTTCTTAAAAAATATGTTAGATTGTATTGAAAATTATAATATAAAATATTTTTGTTCTTTTAAAAATATTATTTTAATTTATAATATTTACTTCCATACTTAAAATTACAATATATTTTTATTATGGCCAACCTTTATTTTATAGGATAAAATTTAGGTGAACTACTTTAACTGTTTTTGTTTTATTTTTAATTTAAACTTAAATTTATTTTTCATAATATGTAAAATAAAAGTTTACATTAAAAATTGGGATAAATAACTATTAAAAATAAACTTTTATTAATTTTATAATGACACTAAAAATATATAAGATATTACCCATAAATTTATCTTGTTTTATATTTATATAGGTTGTAGTTAATATAATAATTATTTATTAGTAATTAATCCTTATTTGTTTATTTCTTTATAATTTCCACTTATTAAGGTATCCATTCCTAAAGTATCAAAACCCAAATGAATTATAAATACTCACATCTTGAAGAATAATCAAAACCCACACAAGAACAAATTATATATGTAAACTTCATTTTTTATATAATAAATTTTATAATCTTATCATTTATTAATGTATTTATGTAGATCAAAATTCATTTAATTTTCTCCCCTCTCTTTCTTATTATTTAGATCCGTCATTAAATTCATATGAATTGAAATTATAATAATCAAAATCTTATTTAAACCAGTTAGAAAAAAATGTTACATGGATAGTGACCAATGAATAAAATTACAAAGCCTATTCTTATTTTCTAAAGTCTCATTCCACGTATGTTCTTTATTTATATTACACAGTATGTGAGAGAATTTCCTCATTACTATTCTTATAGGCAGTGAAGGTATGTCACTGTCTCACTTTATATTCTGCGTTTTCTCTCTTTAATAAGAAGAACGTAATTGGTTACTCAAATAATTTTCTTTCTTTAATGTAACCACATTTCTCTTCCACATTAATAACTTCAACTCTAGAACAAGTCATATAATAGTTGTTTATCTCTAAGCAACGTGCACTAGGTTTGAGTTATAACATGGGCACATCATATCTGCTCATTGCTTGGACTCATTCAAATTCAATTAAGAAAAGTTTAAATTAGAAGAGTTTACCCATTTTACCAATGTTAACATGTATTCTACATTTAATTAATCATGTCTTTCAATGGGCGTGCTTGCTTGGATCAAGTTAAAAAAATATTATTTCCATAATTAATTTAATTTATAATAAAAAATTATGATAATTGATTATATAAAATAAGTTTTATATTTGAATGTGTTATATGAAAAGTAATTTTAAATTTTTTTATTTTGTACATATTGTATAAAATAATCGCTTTCTAGGTTGACATTACAAAAAAAAGAATAAAGTTCTGTATAATAGTTCATTTTGTATTTAAAATAACTAACTATTGAGGATAACATAGAAAAATACAAGTTAGCTAGAAAACTATGAGCTTCAAAATTTTGCTTATTTTAAATGTTCGAATTTTTTGTAAAAAAAATAAAATCAAAGATTATAAATTGATTTTATAAAATTTACTAAACAATAATGAAAAATGTCTTTTTAAAACTTTTTCCACGTAAACAATAAAATTAGTTGCAATTAAAAACACATTCTTGCTGTTGTTTATGCCAATCCCCATGGATGATGTGAATTGTTTACTTTTGAAATCCATTGAAATTCCTCCTTATTGTAAAATATTTTGGGACAAGCTCCTTTAGTGGTCAGATAAAAATAGGTAGAATATGATTAGTTATTATATCATTTGTTAATTATGAGTAATAAGAATAAAATTAATTTATTTATTTTCTATCAAATCAGTATAATTATTATGATGAGAATATTGTTGAGTTAGGAAAAAAAAAATGATAGCAACTGTCTCTCCTAAAATACCTTTAATTTTCTTTTACATCTTTTTTATTGCTTTCCTCTTTCTCTTCTCTCTATTTTTATATATTTTTAAAATTAAATTTTTTAATTATTTATATATTTTTATAAATTAAAATAAATAAATTATAAAAAGTAAAATAATCAAAATTTAATTTAATAAATATAAACAAAACAGTAATTTTGTTATTTTCTATGAATTAATGTCATATTTTTTTCTATTAAGTCTACAACAAATATTAAATATCATAAAAGTTTATTATTATTATTTTTATATTTTATTCTTATCTAATTATCTTATCCTATTTACCTTATCCTGTCCTGTTCACTAAACGGACCCTTAATATTATCTTATACAAAGAAAGGTCAATGGTGTTTTCTGTTTCAAACTATATAAATTACTTTGATATAAAGATTCAAGGGTGTCTCTTTTATTAAATAGAAAGAGTTCACAAAAGAACAAATTTTGACATGAAGATTAGAGATTTATGTTTTATTTATATTTCATAGTTAAAATTTGTAATTGAAATTAATTTGAATTCACATATCAATTGTGCTAAATAATTTAAAAGCAATTTTATCAAACTTCAAAATAAACAAACATTTATTAATAAGATGGAAGTGTGTATTGAGATACTCATACTCGCGGGTATTTATATGCATAAAATTATTAAAATATAAAATGGTTTTATTTTTTCAGATTATGATTTAATATTTATTTTAAATTATATTATTTTAAGAAATGTTAATTTTTTTTAACAAATATCTGCAGATACCCGAAAATTTTTGTAAATAACCATAATTTAAAACTTACTTATAACAAGTACTCGTGCTCTGAAAGCGCATACTAGATCAATTTTTATTTGCAGTGCAAGGATACCTTTGATAATAAAAATTTTATCGATTTATATTTGCGGTGCAATCCTGTTTCACTGTATTTTATCTATTACTTCTCATAATGAAAATTGGATCAATATTTTCCTAAATATAATGTTTTATATACCTATTTCATAATTGGTGAGTGCTAAGTTACACATCCGAATTTATCTCATTCATTTATTTACTTTTGTTCCTTTTCCCTCTATTTCCTCACTTTCTTGCTTTTCCTTGTAAGTTGGCGTTAAAAGAGAGAGAGAGAGAGTGCTGGACAATCGGAAATTCCAATACTTTGTTCAATTGGCTTTTTAGCTACCAAATTTGGATCCTCCGCATGCATTTGTCACTTCAAGAGTTGAAGTTTGTTAGTATATGCTTTTCGTTAGTATTTTTATCATATCATAACTCGATTTTCTTGATTTCATGTAGTGTTTAATAAAAATGCTGAGATTACAGGTCAACATTAAAATGATATAGTTTTAAAGAAGATTTATATAGAGATCTGTATAACTTTTTAGGATATTAGGTGTATGGTAATAAATTCTTTGCCTAATCCAATATTATGAAATTCTGAGTTTACAAGAGTATTTTTAAACGAATTTTGTTCTTTGTGATATTCAAACCGAACTGTGAAAGGGAACAGTGCAACTATTCAATCAGATACAGTGCTTCGAATACGTGAAATGAATTCATTTATAAGGAAATCATAGGCAAATTAAATAATAAAAAAAAAGAGTTAGAAACCATACATTGTTTATAGTAGTATGATTTATACGTAATTTGAATTACTAGAATATTACTTTACAGTATGTTATGTGAGATTCCATTTACAAATGAAGTGAACTCTTCCAATTCAGAGAAGTGGATATGAAAAATCAAACTTTATGATTACATTCTGGAGGGAAATAGGCTAGCACAGGGATCTGTTGTGGGATAATTGGTAAAGGAGCTTCAAAGTTAAGCACCTTATTCACTTGCTTTATGGAGGGTCTGGATGTGCAATCTGGATTTGTACACCAAAGACCAACAAGCATCAAACATTCCATTTGCTTCACATCAAAATCCCCACATAGGTTAGGATCTGCAGCTGAAATGAGATTTCTCAATGTATAGAGTTCCCACACCCACTCAACTAATGATACTTGTTCCTCATTGTCTCTGTGGTGAATGGCTTTTCTTCCGGTGGCTACCTCCAACAAAACAACCCCAAAACTAAATATGTCAGATTCCTTTCTAGCCTTGCCTGTGCTCATATATTCAGGGGCCAAGTAACCTATGGTCCCAGCCATAACTGTGGTATGTGACCCTTTTTCATGATCTGCTAGCCTAGCTAAGCCAAAATCCCCAAGCTTAGCATTGAAATTGGAGTCCAACATTACATTGCTTGATTTGATGTCCCTATGAAGCACACATTTTTCCCATTCTTCTTGTAGGTAAAGCAATGCTGAAGCCAAGCCCAAAGCTACATTGTACCTCACTTGCCATGACAAAAAGTTTTCTCCACCAGAAAGCCGAGAATCTAAGCTACCATTTGGCATGTACTCGTATATCAAGAAGAGATCATTCTTTTTGTGGCACCAACCAGTGAGTTTCACCAAATTCCTGTGCCTCAATTGGCTTATAATAGTGACTTCAGCCGCATACTCCTTTACACCTTGCGTTGAATCTGCTGATATTCTCTTTATAGCAGCATAGGAGTTTTGGTCCTTCAAAAAACCTTTATAAACACAACCAAAACCACCTTGGCCAAGCTTTTGTGTGTCTTGGAAATTGTTTGTTGCAGATACCAATTCCTCATAGCTAATCTTCTTAGGTCCAGTGCCCATTTGGAACTCATCATCCATCTTCAAATCAGAAGCGGTTTCTGAGGTGGGTTCTTCTTCTTTTCCTTTATTCCTCTTCCATAATAAAACATGGACCAACCCAACTAAACACGCACACAAACCTAAACCAATTCCTATTCCCGCCAACAACTTGTGAATGATTAACTTGCTTTTCTGATGATCAGCACTACTAGTTGGTGGGGTTTTATTAAATGACCATGACATGAGTGTATGTATTTCTTCCGAGCCATCTCCTGTTGCAGCTGATATGCCAACAATAACCGACTCTTGCAAGTATTCACTCAAATCAATGTGGTACAAAAGGTTCTGTGTTACTCGTTCACCATTGAGCTTGTATCCAGTGAAAGAAACTTTTAGATGATAACCTCTTGAATTGTATTCAATATAACAATCGTAAGGGCTGCTTGAAGTATCTGTCAACCATTTCTCAGCTATGTAAGACACCATAGAGTTGACATTCACACCTACATGTGTGTCAGGTGGGTCCCACTGGTTTGGGAAAGTGTCAAACTCCACCGCCACAAAGTGATACTCAGTTGTGAAAGTTTGGTTAAGGTAGTTGTGATCCCCACGACCAATGCCAAGGCCTCCTCCTTTTAGTTGTGTTGCATCATTCAAATCTGTGAGATTTGGGTTTGCTAAGAAGAATGTCAAACCATCTCCACGAGGAATCTGGGTCTGGCTTGAGAGAAGTGAAAAGGAAAATTGGGTAGTGAAGCTTTCTAGTTCATTCGAGCTTTTGTTCCAAAGATGAAAAAGTTGGGAACTTGTGACTCGCCCAACACTCCCAAATCCACTTTTGTTTGGGTCCACTGCGAGTTGGATGCCAGCATTTGAAGAAGAGAAATTTCCTTCAAGCTTTACTTGTATTACATCATCAGCATCAGTGAAGTTGTAATCAAAAGACAAAGGTTGAGCATTTGCAAGAGGGGTTACCATTAGGAACAAAAATGCTCCCATTGCATAACTACTCGTTGCATCGTGCCCAAAATGCCAATTACAATCGCCCATTAAACTGAGTAGAAATCGAGGTTCAAGTTTGAAGCCTGCTGACACATTTCCATGGGCGTATTTATCTTCAATCTTGTTTGTCTTAGCTCCACCTCGTGACGAATGTTCCCACGTACACAGCTCATCGTTTCTTCAAAAAATGAACAGGGATCACAACCGTGCTATTGTGCTGCTTGTGGTGGATCAAACGGCAACATTTGGATTTAGCAAATGTTGTTATTGATTAGAAACAAACACCGCTGCTTGTTAACGGAAATATTCAAGAAACCACTTGTCAAAGCATTGTTTCCTTTAAATTTAATTTCATTTAACGTATGTTAGGAATAATAAAGAAGAAAAGTTTCGAAAACGTCATCTCTCGAGGTTAGATATATATATATATAGTGTAAGTTTAAAAAAAAACTTTTATATTTGAGGTTTTTATTTAATTTATATTTAATAATTAATAAAATAATAAATTATAACTCATTAAATATAAGTTAAATAAAAAGTTTACATTAAATATAATTTTTTTTATTTAAACTAATAAAACAAATCTTGCCTCATATATAATTTTACGCTGGATTTAAGGGTAGACTAGTTTTACTTTATATAAATTTTGTATGATAAAAAATTTAATTTTGATATATTAAGAATATAAAAATTTTATATAATAAATTAAAAAGTTAGTCTAAATATAATTTTTAAAGAAATGATTATAAAAGTATATAATTTTTAAATATATGATAATTTATAATTAAATGGTAATGTAATTTTTTTATATTATTAATGCATTTCAATTAAATTTTAATAAAAAGCAAATAGTTAGTATATGTATGAATTTATGCTAATAATATATATATATATATATATATATATATATATATTTACATTCGACTTATTGAGTTCAACTAATTAAACTAAATTGTCCAATCTAATGTGTTGACAAATATGAAATATGATATTTTTAATCAGTTGAGTATTTTATATTAAAACTTATTACAAAATTTTGGGTATTGAGTTCAGTCCGCACAAATTTAGGTACCCGTATGATGACATCGGGTCAAATACTTCGAAATGGCAACTGAGATAAAGCAATTACACTTGAAATTGAAATGGGAACATTCATATTAACTTTTTCAGTAATTTTCTTTTTTCATATACAAGTTATTAATCTAAGGCTTTGAGCAAGGGGAATTAAGCATGTAAGATTTATTATTTTCTCATCTTACTATGTGCAAACTTTAATTTCAGAGTTATGAAATTTTTTGGAATAAAAAAGTATTTATTAAATAAAAAATAGTGATAAATAAATTAAATTCTTTCCAAAGTTAAAATTAACTTTTGATTCTCGTATTTTTCAGAAAACTTTTCAATTAACTTTTTTAAAAAAAAAGGTACATTCGATTTTAACTTGTAATTTTTTTATCTCTTTATTTTTTATATAAATATTTATTTAAAAAATTATTCAAATTAAACTTATATATTATTAGAAATAATGTCTGCACATCTATAAGAAAAGAAGAAAATATAGTGATACATTTGAAAATACTATTCCCTATTTAAAAGGGTGATTCTATATTCTTTCCCTTTACTTTGAAAAGTAAGGGAATTAAAAAAATAATACTTTTAAATAAGCAAAATATAAATAATTTAAAATTATTGATTTGATTTTATAGTAAACTAATGATTAAGATTAAAACAGAAAAAAAATAAAAATTGGACTAGTAACTTGCATTAAATCTTAGTTATAAAAAATAAAAAAAAATTCTTTTATTTTTATATTTGCATCGTTAATTGTGACCTAAAACTCTAGTCTTTATTCATTGTTACTAGTTCCTTCCTTTATAAAACTTATAAGCATAAAAGTTACAAGATTCTTAATATTATATTGTAAGTACAAAGTACGTCACAGAAACATGTATAAATAATATTAATTCTGTAAAAAATTAATAATTTATGTTATTCAAATTTTAATATTAATTCAGCATTGTCAATAAGTTGAAGGTAGAAAGTGAAAAAGAAATTACTTTAGAGTTTTATCTAAAGTCACTTTTCACACTTTCTTCCTCTCCTTTCTTCTTGTTCTCTCTCTCTTGTTTTCAACCATCACAATCATGGAGAACTCTTTGACGTAAGAAGTAATTAAAAAAAAACATTACTTTCTATATCAATTCGATGTAGAAAGTATATTTACAAAGTAGTGAAAAACTTTAAATGTTGTTTTATTTAACATTATAAATTTGAAGGGTATAACTTTGAGAATAGAACTCGAATTTATAAAAAAATATATATTTATTTTATGTAACTTTTCGAGTTATGTCCACCTAAGTACTTAAAAAGGTTTGAAAAAATTAAAAACATTTTTCTAATTTTTCGGGAAAAGAATTTTGTCTTTTAACATAAAACTCGAATTTATACAAATTATATATTTATTTTATATAACTTTTTAAGATCTATTCAACTCAAACGTTTTTAAGGGGTTTGAAAGAACTAAATTCTAAAATTTTAACATTTTCTAATCTTTCTGAGAAGGAATTCTATTATTTGAAAATTCTTGATGCTGTAAATCATAATTTATAACTTGAGAGAAAAATGAAAAGTAATGATACTCAACTATGTAGTTGTTAGTGGAAGGTAAAGAGTTAGCAAATTCATTTTGTTATGAATAAGATAAGAATAAAAGAGGAAAAAAAGGAGGAAGAGGGAGAAATGAAGAATACAAAAATATATATAAAATTATCAATATATCTTTTTATAAATTTAACTTATATCACCAATTTTTTATTTTTTATTTTTAACTGTCTTATAGTTCACAATGTTTAAAAACTTTAAAAAAAAATATTTTTACCTTACTTCATGCAACAAAAAGGAAAATATTAGAGTCAACTCATGCAACGAAATAGGAGGATATTAGAGTCAACCCATTTAAAAACACTAATTGTTTGCAAGGAAAATAATAATTCAAACATCAATCTTAGATGCATCAACGTTAATGTTTGTTAAAGTTGGATGAATTTATATTTAATACTTGATTTATATTTTCATGCTCTCCTTTTGTTTTGGACTTTCTCACTTATACTTTGATTAGATGATGAGTCAAGTGTTTGAAGCATAACTGCATTACGAGTAAATTATCAGTACAAACTATTTGAAAACGAAAAATGCTATATTTTCTTATTATTTCAGCTTACAAATTCTCCTACCTGCAAAAAAAAGGTGACATGTGCTTTCTGAAAAATATTAACTTTTATCTTTCAACTTCTTCCTTCTTCAGAAGACCACTTTTACATTTGTAGAGATTTATGATACAAATGATATTTTTATGGTGTACAAACATTGCTTGTACATAATGTGTTGCTGTTACAATATTTGGAGACCACTTAACTTGTATCATTTAAGGAACATGGAACAGTTAAAAACAAGTCATTTGTTATTGGACAGAAATAGGTTAACACAGGGATCTGTTGTGGGAGAGTGGGTAAAGGAGCTTCAAAGTTGAGCACCTTAATCACTTGCCTTATAGAGGGACGGGATTTGCAATCTGGATTTGCACACCAAAGGCCAACAACCAGTAAGCATTCCATTTGCTGCACATCAAATTCTCCAAGTAGATTTGGATCTACTGCTGCAAGGATATTTCTCAATCCATAAAGCTCCCACACCCACTCAACTAATGATACTTCTCCCTCCAAATCTTTGTGATGAATGGCTTTTCTTCCACTGGCTAACTCCAACAAAACAACCCCAAAACTGAATATATCTGATTCTTTTCTAGCCTTTCCTGTATTCATATATTCAGGGGCTAGATAACCCATGGTCCCAGCCACAACTGAGGTTTGTGACCCTTGCTCATGATCCACTAGCCTAGCTAGGCCAAAATCCCCAAGCTTAGCATTGTAGTTGGAGTCCAACATTATGTTGCTTGATTTGATGTCCCTATGAAGCACACATTTTTCCCATTCTTCTTGTAAGTAAAGCAATGCTGAGGCCAATCCCAGAGCTATGTTGTACCTCATCTTCCATGTCAAGATGCTTTCTCCACGAAAAAGATGAGAATCTAAGCTACCATTTGGCATGTACTCGTATATCAAGAGGAGATCATTCCTCTTGTGGCACCAACCTGTGAGTTTTACCAAATTCCTATGCCTCAGTTGGCCAATGGTCTTCACTTCTGCCGCATATTGCTTTATACCTTGTCTTGAATCTGCTGATATCCTCTTTATAGCAGCATAAGAGTTTGAGTCTTTCAAATAACCTTTATAAACACCACCAAAACCACCTTGGCCAAGCTTCTGTGTCTCTTCAAAGTTGTTGGTTGCAGTTAACAATTCATAATAACCAATTTTCTTAGGTCCAGTGCTCATCTGGATTTCATTATCCATCTTTAGATTAGAAGTCGCTTCTGAAGTGCCTTCTTTTCCTCTATTCTTTCCCCAGAATAAAAGATGGAACAACCCCAATAAACTTAAGAACAAACATATACCAATTCCTATCCCCTCCAACAAGTGTAAGTTGATTAACTTGCTTCTCTTTTCAGAATCAGCATTACTTTGTATGCCACTTGGTACACTTGTACTAAATGACCATGACAGCAGGGTATGTTGCTCAAAATACCCACCTGTTGCAGCTGATATGCCAACAATAACTGACTCTAACTCTTGTAATTGCTCAGGAATATTAACCTGATATGAAAGGTTCTGGGTAGTCTGTGTGACATCCCCACCACTGGATTTGTATCCAGTGAAAAAAACATTCAAAATACTCTTTCTAGAATTGTACTCAATACTACAGTTACAAATCTCCCCTTGTGTAATATTTACCCACCATTCCTCAAATATTTCAGACTTCATAGAATTGATACTTACACCAACATGTGATCCATCTGGGTCCCAGTTGTTTGAGAAAGTGTCAAACTCCACTGCCACAAATCGATAGTCTGTCTGGAGAAGATTTCTGTCACCATCCACAAGACCAATGCCAAGGCCTCCTCCGCTCAGTTTTTGTGTATCATTTGTGGATGGAAGATTTGGGCTTGCAAGGAAGAATGTCAAACCATCTGCATAAGGACTCTGATTAGAGGAAATAACAAAGGAAAAGTTGGTAGTGAAATCTAGTTCATTTGAATTGTTATCCAAAAGATGTATTTTTTGAGGATATGTGACTCGCCCTGCTGCTGCAGACCCATCATTGTTTGGGTCCATTGTCCTCAATGTTAGTTGGATAGCTGAATCTGAGGCAGAAGCATTACCATCCAGATTTAACAGCTTCACATAAGTAGAATTAAAGTTTGGGAAATCAAAAGACTGAGGTTGAGCATTTACATTTGCAAGAGGGGTTATTAGGAGGAACAAAATGGTTCTCCATGCATAAATGGTTAGAAGGCCAAATTGCCAACTACGACCATCCATTACCAAGAGTTGAGTTTGATCTTTGAAGCCTAACACACTTTCATGTGTTATGTGTGTGTATATATTTTTCTATCTTATTCTTATTTGTCATTTGTTTTTTTCCTTCGTAATTTGTGTATGTAAATTATATTTGTCTTAACCCTCAACATTGTGATGAATGTTGTTCCAACCAGGACAGATCACAGCCACCGTATTGTGCTGTGGGCTGCGGCTATCAGTGCTGATGAGGACGACAATATTCGGAGTTATAGCATGTTGTCATGAACTAGATACAAACTTGGCTTTGATTACTAACGGAAATATTGAAGAAACAAAAGACATGTGCATTGTTTTCTTTAAATATAAAACCCTTTAACATAGACAATATACTTATGGTTAATGTATTTAAATATCAAATAAATTATATATTAATATTAAACTTAAATTTTAATACAATTTTATTATTTATTAATTTTTTGTTATGTATTCTTAAGCACATATTAAAAAATTGTATTACAAATAAAGAAGAAAAAAATTTGGAAGTAATTGTCTGTTCCTCATACAATCTTCTGCTGCAACTGAGAAACCAATAATAAATAACCCACCTTAGCTAGTTATCTCTCAAATCAACCTTGTATGACATGTGTTCTTCAACTGGTTTATCATCACTATACATAGTGAATGTAACACTTAAATTAAGAGTGCTTGAATTGTACTTAATGCTGAAATTATAAACATTCCATGTTTGATTATCTATCAACCATGGCTCAGTTATATTAGACTTCATAGAGTTGAAATTCAAGCCTACATGAGTGCCACCTGTGGGGGGGGTTGTCCCATTTTTCATCTTGGAAGGTGTCAAACTCCACAGCCACCAATCGGTGTTGAGTTGAATTCAACACACGATTTCCACCCATAATAACTCTTATCTGAAACAATAACAAAGCAAAATTTGGTAGTGAAATCAGCTTCAGTTTATAACTAGTATTAATATTGTATTTACTTTACTTAAAATTTTTATACAGGCAAAGGAATATTAATAAAAAATAATATTAACCTGAGCATTTACATAGATAGATAGATAGATAGATAAATAAATAATTCTAAACAAAGAAATTATAATAAAGGTTGTATTTATTCTTTGTGATTTTGGGATTATAGGATAGTCTAAATTCTGGAAAGTTTGTGTCTTAATGCGTCATTTTCTCGCCCTTAGGCCGGCATTGTTGTGATTTGTGAAACTTTGAGCTCGTCATTACTCGGCGTGTCAGCATAATTAGTTTAATTTTTTCCATTAAATGAATAAATTTAATATCATGATCCTATCTCTAATTTTATTTATAAAAAACAAAAATATAATTTATTAAAATCAAGAAAATTAATTATTTGATATAAATTTATACTTTATTCTAAATATATATGATCTGTGTTATATATTAAATCTATATAACTCTTATAATAAATAAAAATATAAAATACTAACAATTAATGCATTATTTCTTATAAACAAGACCAGATGTAGTAATGTTTACCATTGATCGTTAATTAAAATTAAATGAAATAGTTATAAATATTCTTACAATGTTTTCTTTACAAGTTCTTTATTTACGAGACGAAGAAAGAACTAAACGTATGTAATATTTTCAAAACATCGAGTGTATTGATTTTTCATTTAATATTTACTTAGTCAAGTAAAAAATTGTTAACATTAACTCTTAAAATTGAGTGTAAACAATTATTAATAGTAAAATTTTAATGAAAAATTATTTACTACACTTTTATAAATTTAATACAATAAATATATTTGTTTTAAATAATTTTTCAAAAATTATTAAATTCAGTCTTAGGAGGGCATAATTAGGGGATGAAAATTTTGTAGAGAAATTAATGAAATTTTTTTTTTAATCTCAGAAAACCAAGCGTATAATGGAAAAACGAAGTGAGATAATCTTGAAGTGGGTAAGGCCCAGCCCATTAGAGATACTACCTGTTATAAAAAAAGAAACTAGCTTTTGGAAGTGGAACTACCAGTTTCGATTTCAAGTGTAAGAATCTACACTTAATTCATCTACATTTAGTTTTGTGCTAGAGACATATACCCTATTGAAATATTTTTTTAATTTATTAATTAAGTTATTTATTCAACATTAAATCTTTATAATGATGTATAGCCTTGGAGTGAATACTACAAGTTTGATTTATTTTATTACTTAATTTTTATTTTTATAAACATATATTAAAAATTTATCCAAATTATACCATAATTTATTTAATTTCCTGCATCTCAATAGACTTTGAGAAACGCAATATTTGAAGGAAAGTCATTCCTTTTTTTTTTGTCATAATTAACCCACGAACCTGTCTCCACTTCAATGGGAACATGAAACCGAGCCTCTAACTTGGAAATCAAAATATTCAAAACACACACAGTATCGTGGATATGATTATGTAGACGTGAATGCTTTGAATAACATGCACAAGTTCAGAAAAACGTAGACAGTGGGCACAATCTCGCCCAAAAAGTAGCTCCTCTTATTCATGCAAGATCTTCATCATGATTTGAGGCATAGCATGAGCCATCTTGTCGACTCATCACACATGCACGTGCCCACACATATAAGAAATCTGATTGAAATTGCAGCATTTAATTTGCTTTTTCTTGGTTCAGAATTAATTGTAAATCTCGAAAACTTTAGAAGTTACGCAAATCCTACCAAGTTTGAGATTACCAGGCTCTGAGAGGATAACAAAGTAAGAGTAAGCAACTGATAAAATATCTTAGATTCACAGAAACAATAATTAAGTCAACTCAATTAAAAACTTGGATTTACAATTACACTTTAATTTTAATTAAACAATGAAAACTCAACAAACACTTTGAGGATATACTCCCCATATTGAAGTCAAATGCAAGAAAACAATCTATATCATCAGCTCCAATGTAAATCCAAGTTTCTTGGTTTTGGACAGCAAAAGCTTTTAGGTATACGTGAAATTCATGAGTTTGTTTATACAAACATACGAATTTCATTAGAGTTAAACTTAAATAACTTAATTCATTTAACTTTTAATTTATTTTTAGGGAGAAGTTCGATGATAATAATAATAATAAAATTATAAATTTATTAAATAAATCAAGATCATGATACATATTTTAAAATAAATTAAACTAAAGTTTTAAACTTAAATTTGTTTAGACTATGTTTGTTTCAAGATATAGCATTTCATTCCTAAAGTATAATATAACAAAATACGTTACTAAGTAAATTATAAAAAATGCTTGCTCAGAATATAATATTTATTAAAAATGTTTTTAAAAATTTAAATATTAGTAGAAAAAGGGAAGGTAGATGTGAGGATGGAAGATATTCTCGTGAAAACGCAACCCACCTATTATCATAGAAATGAAAATATTATAAAAAAATGAAAAGACGGGGATGTCACTTTCTTGAATATCAAATTTACCTAAGAATGTTTTTTTAACACATAACTAAACATGAGAATGCCATATTCCTAATATTAGCTTTTTAATGCGTGACTATAAAATTTATATATAATAAATTTTTATTAAAAAGTACATGATATTGAATTCAATATGTTAATAATATTATTACTATAACTTTTAATAAAAAATTATTCTTTTTAAATTTTCTGTCATATATTCTTAAATAATCATTAAAATAACTGTTTAAAATTGTTAAGTTGTGTTAAACTGGTGGAAAGTAATCATTAAAGAGCTTTGACTTATCCTTTTAATAATTCTCTTACAACTTTATAAAGTAAGTATTAAATAAAAGATATTAATTTAATATTGTGTTGAAAATATAAAATATAACAAATATCTTTTATTTAAAAATTGAGAATTTATAAAAAAAAAGAAAGATTTAAAACCATTCATCGTCAAAAGACGGCGATATATCAGTACAGTCCCTGTGCTTACGTATATATGTGTGGGGGTGCGATGAAAGGAAAGATTAGCGTTTGAATTTGTCAATCAATTAATAGATTAAAAAGCTAAGCATGCATATGCCAACAACTTATTAAAGATCATTTATATATAAAAGGGCCATTAATTTTCAATGTTAGTATATGAGAATGAGATATAATAAATTAGAGCATGCCCTGTAGTGGTTAACTAACCATACCCATCATTTGTTGATGATTGACACTTGGCTAGCGTCTTAGCTGGAGACATAATACCCGAGGCTTAATTTAGTCGCAGGTACAGAGACTAAGGTAGAATTTGAACCAAGTAAACCTTCGATTATTTAAGGAAACAAAAGTATCTTCATTGGTCACAAAATCTTTTTCGCCAGGGTAAGCCCAATCACGAGAATAAAGAGTCGTGCTCAATTACTGTTTCCAATATAAAATAAAGAACAATATGAAATAAAATAAGTGAAATAATGATAAAAATTATATAAATAAATAAATAAAATCAGTACTTTATTACATCTTCTTAGATTTTTTTTTTCTAATAATATTATTTTTACTTTTTAAAATAAGCATTAAATGTGAAACTATGTGTGATTAAAAAAATGATTTTCATAAAATTAATATACAACTCGGACTTGGTAAAAGCCATAGTATTTTGTCGCTATTGTACTGAATATTCCCGGCTGCAATGAGATCAGTGAAAGGTCTGGGCTGGCATTATTAATTAGGTAGTGTGCCCGAGGAGTTGAGTTTAATACTAATTGTGATTTGACAAAACATTGATTAATATTTTTAGAATATTAGCTTAAAAAATACATAATGATTTTTAAAATTTTCTTAATATTAATTTTTAGGATTGGACAGAGTATTTAAAATAAAAAATAATTAAAAATACTTCTTTTATTTTATTTATAAGAAATTATTTTTAAACATTAATTACTAATTTTTTTTATATTTTTATTTATTATGAGGTTTATGTTACTGACATACTCACTCTTTATTTATATAAGTGAGTATATTTATTTATTTAAAATACCAATTAATATTATGAATATTTTTTATAATATAGAACAAATTTATGACATAATTATTTTTTTATTTTAATGATTTAAATATTTTTATAAATAAAAACAGAATTAAAATTAATGTTATACAAAAATATAATAAATATTATTAACAGCTTAAACTCATTCTTAAGAATTGAGAATAAATTTTTTTCACTTAATGTATGTCTAAAGCATATAATAAGAAACTATATGCAGTGAATTTATTATATTTAAGTTATAAAAATTTAATAAATATTTCTTTTTAATATAATTTTGTTATTGAGAATTGCTTGAATTCAAGCATATGACTTGAGCTTAACATTTTTTTAATGTTTGTCTTAAAGTATATAATAAAAATTTATATATAGAAAATTTATATTAAAAATTACAAGATATTACACATTGTATGTATTGATATCATTGGGTGCCTATTATAAAAAATTTAAATGTTTCCTTTACTAGATGTCACTTGTTACTAATGCATACATCTTAAGATATTACTGATAGTGTGGCAACAAGTCGATGAATTTATTAAAATAATATTAGTAAAAGGATTAAAGTTATATCAATATTTAAGTGATAACTAATTTTAAAATTTTAGTTGTTTATTGGTCAAGACTATTCCTAATAATAAATAAGGATATTATTTAAAAATAATAATACATATTTTCTTAATATTTTAAAACAAAAAATAATTTAACACATAAAGTGAATAAAATTTAAATGTAGTATTATGAATACTTTTAATATTGTTGTTATTAAAATTAAAATTTCACCACAATAGTAACATGTAATAGTGACATTTTATTACTATAAAATTACGAAAGTAAAGCTTCAATTAAAAAACACAAAACATATATATACTATTGCACTTACGTTTTATGGATCAAATATAAATTAAATTAAGATTTTATTTTATAATTATCTTTTTCTCATATTTTTTTCATGTTAAATGTTCATTAAACTAACTCTAAACGTACAATGTTTTAATTAAAATTAAAAAAAATTTAATTTCTGACATAAAAAATTGATTTTAAAAATTCATATTAATTTTTATATTAAACTCTAATTTTAATTAAAAGTAATTGAAAAAACACTCTCTAAAATTATATTTATTAGACTCTTTCAATTAAATTACAAAATATAGAATAAATAAATACATTTTTTACTATCTTGATATTTGAGAGAGTTTATGAAGCCCTCCCGTTGTCCCATCAAAATACTTTAATGGTTAGAAATATGTAGAATATAAGATATTTGTGTTGTTACAATTGAAATATGTAGAAATACATTACAATTGAAATAATTAATTATAAATTTGTGTTGATCTCTATTAATGTTGATTTTACTTTTGATAAACTTTTAGTACTACACGTATGAGAGAAAAGTATTTAATTATGGTAAGTTAGGATTGTGGAAGGTGAATTTGAAAGGGTTGAGTATTTAAAGTTCAAACACCAAATATGGTTAGTGGTGAGTATTTCCAATTTGGGAAACCTTATGGAATCCGAAAGAGGTAATTCCTAGTTTAGATAGAATAAGTGGTGAGTGTAACTAAAAGTTGACCACTCCATCACATGTGAGATGTTGGACTGTGTTTTGAGTTTTTTAACTTAATTTAGTTGGCAGCTCCAACTGCGACACCCACCTTGATATTTGAGTTTCACCTCGAATTTAACAGGTTGCTCAGCTAACTACTAAAGTAAATTATACTCTTTTTTTAAAGGATTACATTTAAATATTTCAAAATTAAGATTTATAGTTAATATTATAAATACATTAAATTTTATGATATTTTTGTAATTTTAATAAACTATTTTATATATATATAAATTTTTATCGTAGTTATTGACCATATATATATATATATATATATAACATTTATTATACTGAAAATAAAAGTAGAGTATTTTTTTAAATAAATTTTACTATTTTAAAGTTGTCTAAACTTAATTTTTAAATTGAAATTCAAATTTTTTAATAATTATTTTTATGCTGACAAATATTCTTAACTATTAAAATATATTTGATAAAATTTGCTACAAGTTTATAGCTGAAAGTTTGTTGCTAATTGAGTTGTTCGGTGAAATATATTAAATAACTAAAAATAAGTGTTAATATTATTTTTTTGTAAATGTACATTATTTAAATATTAAGAGTAAAATTTTAAATCTATTTAAGATAATTTTTTATAAGCTAACTTTTAAAAATTATAGGTTGCATCTCAGAAACTATAAACTCACAAAAATATAATGATATTTAACTATTTTTATTTAATATTTAAAAAGATTTGTATAGCTATCATCAAAAGAAGAAAAAAGCTAAATTTTGTCCTTTTTAATCTATAAGAAAAGATATTGTTGGCTTCTATCTTAGTTCTGCAGCATTATATGTAAAATTGCATTTATTTTATGTCTATTTTAGTTTTAACAACTAATAATTATCAATATTAACATTATTGTCGTTATTAATGAAAATAAAATATTTATATATAAATGGAGTATCATTTTACATGTTACTTTATAAAGAAATACTTTTTTTAAATTATTATATTGTATACTTATTTTTTTTATCTATTTTTGTTTTCTCTTTTTTTTTTTAATTTTTTCTTTATCATATTATCTATCATTTTATTTACTTTTCTTTTTCTTCCCCCCCGCCCTCCCTATTTTCATGATTTTAAACTCAAAATAGAATATGAAGCCATTCATAACTTTGTTAATGATTTGTACATCACATAGGTGTATTGTATAATGATTTTGTTATATTTAACAAAGATCACGCATATTTATATTGTTTTATTCCAAAGAAATAGTAATATTATTAACAAACATTTTAAAAAACACAAATAAAAGATAATGCATAGAAAAATAATTAACTTTTATTTTGCTACATTTCTAATTTTTTCACACACTTATCTTTCACTCCGTAAAATAATAAATTTTCATTTCGGGATTCCTGACAATTACAAATAGTCTGAGGATATCGCACATCGCCGAGTCATTTTACGAAAAGTGGCATTTGGAATCTGTGGCCAAGTTTCTGTGCCTTGGGGATTTTCATTTCTGTTGAGTTTTATTATTTAAAAATCAAAATGTTAATAGTGTAAGCATATATATATATATATATATATATATATATATAATATTAATCTCTTTTATATTATAATTTTGAATTGTGAGGAATGAAAATTTTTAATTTTCCTGCTCAGTTTCTCACTCTGGACAAAATTGGCGAGCGCTCTTTTTATTGCGTGCTCGCTCAGTTGGCCCCACAATCTGCAACCTTAAAACCTCGGCACACGGAACCGTCTCGAGTCCTACGAAAACCGCTTTAGCTTTCCCTATAAAGCTCTAAATTTTGCGTTCCTTTCCTTCTTCTGCTCCATCTGCTACTTTTCCTTTTCACTCCTATAATTTTCAAGTAAGTTACTTTCATTACTCTTACTCTACACACTTTATCATTACTATTTATATAATACTTGTGTTTGCACTATTTATTATTAATGATTAACATTTTCTCTCTCTCTTTTTCGTATATATGTTCGTCTTTTTAATTTTCCTCAACCAATCGTTCAAATTTCTTTTCGATTTAAGCCGATTTTCGTCATCAGGATTGATGTTCCTGATTTAGAAGAAAAGATTGTGAAAGAGCCCTAGCAAGTTTTGACTGTTGACAAAAGAGATGGGGAGAGGAAAGATCGTCATTCAAAGGATTAACGATTCAACTAGCCGGCAAGTGACGTTTTCCAAGAGAAGAAGTGGGTTGTTGAAGAAAGCTAGAGAACTATCGATTCTCTGTGACGCCGAAGTTGGATTGATTGTGTTCTCTTGCTCTGGCAAACTTTATGACTATGCAAGCACCAGGTAGATCAAATTCTTATTTCGTTTACGCTTCTGTTTTTATCCCAATTCACAACTTTGAGTGCGTTGTTTTTAAGTTCACCCTTTTTCCTTTTTTGGAGGTAAATATTCTTCTTTCAGTGAATAATCAGTTAAATATACTGTGAAGAATATATGAAGTTGGCAGAGAGAAAATAAGATGAAAGCTATTCTCGATCTAAGAGTTTCACAATGCATCATCTTATATATACACATTAGATAGGCTAAATTAAACCATATAACGGGAAAACAGAATAGTGTTTAACTTGTTGTTACTAATCATTTCAGGTATATATGACAGCGTTGACTGTGATAGTGAATGTGAATCTCATTTGTGCATATTCTTTGTGCTGGGTGTTCCCTTTGGATATAAGTTCAAATAAAGGGCTGTTTTGTTGGTATCTGAAACTTGCTAGAACAACCGCCCAACAAGGCATGTGGATAAATAAGGAATACTAATAACATTTATAATTTATTCAAAACCATAAAAAAAAATGAGATTAAAATATTAATTTAAAAGTAAAAAAAGTAAAATTCACATTTTTTTTAATTTTTAATAAATTTTAGCTAATAATAAAGAATGTGTTATTAGTATTTCTTTTAATTTTATCAAAATTCATGAACATTGCAATGCTTAAACTTTTTCCTTTGATGCTAGCTTGTTAAATGCTATTCATTTTATTATATATATATATATATATATATATATATATATATATATATATATTAAAAATTATGTAATATTATCAATTGATAACATTAAATATTATAATTTCTAACAAAAAAAATATTTATTAAATCTTTGCATGTGCTCTTAAACAGATGTTAGAAAAAATTCACAATAAATTATACATGAAATTGCCTTTAAAGTTTTAACTTAATTGAAAGATTCAGGAAAACAAGCTTTTCATTCACCTCTTGCCCTTTGCAGACTTCTTAGTATGTGGTTCATGTTCATAGTCTAGTTTTTGCTAGATTTACGGTCTACAACTTATCTATATTGTAACGTTATATTTCTCAGCTAGATTGGGTGTTTTTGGTCTCACCCTCTACTCAAAGACACCAATCCATAGTTATAGGTAAAGAAAATATAAATAAGATTTTATATAAGTTCAATTATCTCATGCATTCTGGACAAAGTTACACCTCAAGCTTAAATCCCAAATTAAAGACCAACTACTTTTTCTATGCTGTAGGGCTTGAATTAGGCGTATCTGTGAAAGCCATCATGTTATGAGAGCTCATAGAATTAAACACCTCTAATCTATGATATAGATCATAAAAAAAATTGTAAAAATATGAGGGAACAAAAAAGACTCGATGAGGTCTAATGGCCTAAGACTTAAGCAGCTCAATAAGAGTAAGATTCAGCTATAAAAAAAATGTTGCAAATCTGTAAGGACTGAAATTTGATGAAGACAAGTCATAATTGACTAAACTGACTCAGTTAGAATTGAGGAAAAGTAGAAGAATAGAAGTCCTATATTAGTTGAAATACAAGAAGTAAAGAAAATATGAGGTTGTAGGGGTTCAATTGCTTGAGCATTTTAGATAATGTTGTATTTCAAGCACAAAAATCTCACATTAAATACCAACTACTCTCCTTGTGATACATAACTTGGATTAATCATGTTCGCAAAAGTCAACATACTGCAAACGGACTATACTATCCTAATTGAACTTGAGGGAAGTATTAAAAAATAAAAGTCTCACATCAATGAGAGATAAGAGAAGTAAATAGAATATAAACAAGAGTTTCTACAAGTTTAATTAACTTGGGGATTAAACTTGTGGATTTTGGATAAATTGCACCTCAAGGACAAATCCCACGTTAAACACCAACCATTCTACTTATGGTGTAATACTTAAATCATGTCTAAAAAAATAATATAAAAATTGAAGTACTTTTGTTTCTCATTAATAATTATTAATACAATATTTGTTAGTTTAAAAAAAAGTAAGTTTTTGAGTTGATATAAAACTTAATACATATTCTTCTTTCCAGAAAATCATTTATTAGAAACATAAATATAGTGTTTTATCATTTTCTCTCTTTCTGTATCTAAGTTTATCTCATATGTTGTATATTCCAAAAATAACATTTGATTTTAAATTATTTTTATTAATCCTAACATTAACATGTAAATATGATGATTTTTTCCTATTGTAAATGGAATCAACTTTGGTATATTGAATGAATTATATCTTTGGTATATTGAATGAAGTTTTCGCTTTATTACCCGACTTCAACTTAAGCAAACAAATGTATATTTACATAGCAATTGCATTTTAAATTTTATGAAGAATGTGGAGCAACAGGTTAGGCAGTTGATCATTTAGAAATTCAGTTATTTTGCTTGGTAGTTGTTCATAGAGCAGCATTGCTATAGCTCACATGTTTGTATGTACCCTTGTATCGTAGAATCTCAGTAACAGTAACATTAGTCTTTGCTGGTTTTGTTCGGTTTTCCGTTTTATGTCTCTGTCTTTCCGCTTCTGTTCGCAGACTCTTAAGTTACACCATATTGATAATGTTTCCTCTAAATTATTATCTGATATAAAGTAGCTAGGACATAGTAAGCGAACTGGCTCGTATTTTCTATCCATTATATTTCAACAATATTTTTATTATTTTTAAATTTAAAATAGTGGTTATCAATTACAGTAGTTATTTTATATTTTCTTTAATTATTTTCATATTACAGACCTAGTGGTTATTTTTTGAGAGCTTTTTAAAAAAAATTATCAAGAAATCATATTTTCCAAACATGATTATTCTAAGAGTGTGTTTGGTTTTATTATATTTAGCAAAACAGTGACTTTTTTTTTAATTGAAAGCTTATAAACTGATTTGAACATAAAATCAATTAATCTAATATATACTTAATGAAATTGTGTTCTATTTATAGTTTATAGAAGAAACAATATCCATTTTAAGTAATGTAAGATAAATTTTGTATTGATATGTTTTGTGTTTAATTACAGGGGAAAAAAATGCTTTCAATCTGATAACTAATTTTACATTTTTGGCAGCATGAAATCTGTTATTGAACGCTATCACAAGGCCAAAGAGGACCATCATCAGCTAATAAATCCTGCTTCCGAAGTCAAGGTAACACAGCCCTTGTATCAGTATTCCTCCACTTATGTTTTAGCCCGATTTCCTGCATTTAGCTATTATATATACGCACTAGAATTCGTGAGTGCAATAGTTTGCATGTATTGACATAACTAAGTTCTCGTTACCATTCAGGAGAGAGATAAGAAAAATAGCAAAAAAATAATTGTAATTTTTTTTGTTAAATTATAATATCTTTCACAAAAAATAATCATTTTTAAATTAGCTAAGAATATCATAGATAATAAAACTCTTTATAGATTTAATGCAATTGCATTTTCAGGACTCAAACTCCTAATTTCAAATTTAATAACACGATTTTCATATATTATAATTTTAGATGAATTTTATGAAGAGTTTGTTATTCTATTTAATGATATTTAAATGAAACTATAAAAAAAAAGGGTAAAAAATGTGTTTTGATAAAATTCATTGAAGTTAAGTATATGTATATAAAAACTCTAATTTTGTGTCTGCCCTCATTATAGTTCTCTTTTAGAACTTTGGCCCCATTGATCTAAATGAAAATATAACAATCAAGGTTTATTTTATTGGATGAGTTTAGTTGTATATGAATCACATGACATTATTAACTTCAGTCAAAAATTAAATTTTAAAAAATTTGATTTATTAAAATATTTTTTTAATATTTTTATTTAAAGTTCTTTTGAATTTTTATAAACTCTTTTAAATAGATTAAGAGTTATGTAATTTATTTTTTTATTGATGTTTTTAAAAGTCTTTTTTTGTACATGATTAAACTACCTTAAATGATTTACAGTCATCTTTTTCATTATACATATTACTCTAATATTCTCTCATATACTATCATTTAGTATCTTATGCTTTCTCATATGTTCGCTTATCCACCTTAGCATTTTTAATTATGTCACTCTTACTTTTTTTATTGTGCTATTTTTTTAAGGTCCAACATTAACAACCATATATGATAACTAGTCGTATTACAGTATTGTAAAACTTTTTTTTTTCCAGCTTGATAGATACTTTATAGTCACACATAACTCCTTATGTCTTCTTCCACTTTAATCACTTAGCTTGTATTCTAAGTATCATCTTTATTAATTTTCTCATCATTTTGTATAATCAATTTCAAGTACTGGAACTGGAAACTTATGGTATAATATTATCTATAATTTTAGGTTTTAAAATATGATCCTCTTATTAGTTTTTGCTAAACCTATAGTGCACATATTTTATCTTATTTCTACTCAAGTGAAATCCTTTAGACTTTGTTTGAGAGTTAGTTTATTAGAAGAAAGAGAGGGAAGAAAAAGACTTATTTGATGTAATTCCTTGTTTGAGAGATTTTATATGAGAGAGAGAAAGTTTATAAATCCTATAAAATCCTTCTAATCATATGTTTTTAAGTTTCTTCAATTTAGGGAGTTTTGTATTTATCTTTCTTCTTCTTCCCTTCCCTTCTTTTTTTTTTCCCTCTCTATTTAAACTTACAAACAAAGCTTTAATAATTTGAAAAGGGGTTTTAATTAGAAGGTAGGGGAGGAGAAGACAAATTTTATATTTTAAATAAATATATTTAAGATTAATATTTATTTAAAATAAATATATATAAATTGATATATTAACATAAACTTAATATATTTATCATGCATTTATCATCATACGTGATATATAATTGTTTTAATTTAAAATTAAAAAATATGTCATCTCCATTTTCTTTCAAAACCCTTCTTCTAAACATATTCTTAGATTTTAAAGTCTCTCTCCATATTTCAAGTTTAGTATTAACTTCTTTTTTTGAATTTTTACCAACACTATTTTATCTACAAAGAGTATGCACTGAAAAATAATTATTTGCATGTCATTTGTAAGTACATTTAAGACATTAAACAAGTAAGGACTTAAAGCAAAGTCTTGATGTAAATCTATTCTAACAAAAATGTTCTTAGATATGCCTCAACAAGTTTTCATATATGTAGTTATTTTGTATATCCTGAATATATATTACATGAATCTCTTTTTCAAAGTATTCCATAGAACTTCTCTTGATACGTAATCATATGCCTTTCCGAAGTTTATAAAATCTATTGTAAGAAAAATGTTGTCATCAAATAATTCACAGGTGCAAATTTGTTTGTCTTTAACTCGCATTGCCATTACTGTTATGCAGTATACATATTTGATATTCATGTTACTGTTAACTAGTTTTGGCAAAGAGAAACAGCAAGCTTGAGACAACAAGTGCATTACATGCAGGAATGCCGCAGGTAAAAAGTTAAACACAGTCATTACATAGCAATTTTCATTTATGCACACTTAAATAATGTTATTATCCATTTAATACTCTTCATCTTTCTCTTTTCATTAAATTATTACATCACTTTTTACGTTTATCACTTTTCTCAGTGTTTACCCTCGTAGAAGTATCTTTCAAAGCATTTTCCATACTATAGACATCTGGGGAGTGAAATGAGAAGTGATGGAAAAAGACTCCCTTTTGGCAAACCCAACGTAGCATTTTGATTCTCTTCATGATTCCTTGCCTATTGCGTGCCTAAGCTACAACACCACCAAACACATAAAGCCAGAATAATAATCTCAAAATGCAGTAAAAGAGTCACCTTTACATTTTCTAAACAAGCAGCACCAAAGCCACCTCCAAATTTGCTAGTCTGTTGCCCTACTGAAGATAGAAGAATGGCCAAAACAACGAAAATTAATACCCCCTTCATGGTTTTTTTTTTTTTTTTTTACAGAAAAAATAAAATAAAACCCTCTACACTAATGTTGTCTTTAAAACTTGCAAGTATAAATATGCCCTTAATTTAATTTTAAATGTATTATGATTTTAATTCACTTAATGATTTGAAGATATCATACCTTGTTCATTTTGAAATTACGTTTACTTTAAAAGAGCGATTTACATAGTTTTCATGATAAAAATGGGATAAGTGGGGGTTCATCGCAATGTTTAAGAAAAAAATTGAATGTTAGAAAGAAATGGTTTGTTATATATTATTCCCACTTTTCTTTCAATCTTAACTTATAAACTTGAATTGATCAATATAAATGTATAAATTGATTTAGATTCTCCCTCATAAAAAACTATTGCTCTTAATTCTCTCCTGTGTTGGATGCTGCTGCTACTTGATTGTTTTACATTATAGGCATTTTCTAGTTTATAAATTATGTTAAAGATTTTTAGTACATACATCCTGTTCTTGGATGACTTCAAAATTAAGAAAATCTTTGTCATTTTTTTAATGGTGTATTAATTTTTTTTAGGGCTTGAAATTGTAATGCTCTTTATGATTAAGAGTTAGAGTACTTCTTGCACTTTCTTATTAATTATATTTTCTAGAAACTATACACAGTTAAATAACTCAAAGATTAAACTTCTAAAAGTTCTATAAATTAAAAATTCCTTACTTCTAAAACAAAAACAGAAAAATGACATTCACATGCGGAGAAGCGATTGTAATACATTTTTTTTTAAAAGATACTTTTTAATCTACTTATAATTGATTTATTTTATAAATTGAATTTTTTTAAATTTAATTTAACATTTTAAAATAAATCAATTATAAAAAATATTAAAAAATATGTTTTAAAAAAAATGTGTTGCTAATGATAGGCTTCTGGCATTGTAAAGTTGCCACTACGATGGATCTGAAGTATTTAGTAGACAATATTGCCTATTCGCAAGGGGCTGATTTCCGGGTCGAATGTGACCTTTTGGTAACACGACAGCAACTGTGTCTGTTGCACTTGGACCAAAGCTCCTTATCTTCTTCGGAAACAAAACAGAAAAGATATTTATGATAAGAACGATTTAATGCAATATTTAGAATCTTATATAACATAATCTATCAGCAATAAAGCATTTAAGAATAGGAAGAATAATGTTCCATATTTTCTTTTTGGTGTGTGTAGGCAATTGATGGGTGAAGAACTTTCTGGTTTGGGCATTAAAGAGCTAGGAAATCTGGAAAATCGACTGGAGATGAGTTTAAAGGTTATTCGCAAGAAAAAGGTATCACTGTTCAGTCAAAGAAAATCAAAGCTACCTCCTCCATTTAAATTCAAGATCCCACGAATCCCCTTCATGGTACATGTGTGACTCTTCCACGATCACTTATTTAGTTATTTACCTGCAGGATGAAATTCTTACTGATGAGGTCAAAGAACTACACCAAAAGGTTTTGTAGCAATCGTGTTTTGTTCCTTAAATGATTCAAAGGCATTCCAACAAACTTCTGACTAATTTCCATTGATGCAATTGTAGGAAAGCCTCAGTCTTCAAGAGAATGTAGAACTTCATAGAAAAATAAGCCTCATCTGCAAGGAAAATGCAGAACTACAAAAGGTAAAAGATCTAAAAACAACATTTTATATATTTTAAATTATGTTCATGTGTTTATATATATATATATATATATAGAGAGAGAGAGAGAGAGAGAGAGGGGTTATTAAAAAGAGATTTTGTTATTATAATATTTTTAAAAAATTTAATTTTTAACTTAGTTCAGTAACGTTGTATAATTCATGTTATCTACTTCATCTAAAGAGATAAAATTGAATTGTAATATAAATATAAATATATAAATGCATATACGTTTAAATTGTGTATTAGAATTTGAGTTGATCCAAAAATATAACGGAGCTTAAGCTTAGTTTGTTTGTTTAAAATACTTTAAGCAATTTAGACTTAAAACTACATTGTTTATATATCTTTTAACCTTTCAATGTTGGACTTTTCATATCTAACATGGTGCACACATGTATAGTAAAAAATCCTAGACACAAACAAAACAGGAGAGGGCATCAAATGTTTAACAGATTTCCATCATTTATGTTTATTTGGCTTATCTTTAAACAAACAGATGATTTGGATTTTAGGTTCTTGAAGCAAATAGTACAAAAGAAGATATTGCAACATCCGATCCTCCATACACTATGAACCATGGATATGATTTAATTGCGCCTATCAGTCTCCAGCTACGCCAGCCACATCCTCAACACAGTGAATCACCAGCCAAAGCAATGAAACTGGGGTATTACCTCAAACTAATGCTATTAATCATACAGCTTGGATCTATAAAAATATGATTTTGCTCCCAATTAATATACTAAATTTCGGTTTTAGACTTGCTAGAAACTAAAAGTGTTAAACTTCTAAAAATTCAGCACCAAATTAAAAGACAATGTTCAGAGGGATTAGTAGATTTATAGGGGAACAAATATTTAATCTATTCATAATTTCATTATAAACTAATCATCTAAAGTCTACAATGCAACAGATTACAGCTGCATTAGCAAAAAATTGTTCGATAATTAGGGATGGTTTTCATTTCTGCTGACAATTAAGCTGCCTGCTTCTTGTCGGAATGGTCTTGCGTCTGTCGGTGGGATCTTGTTCTTCAACAATCACAGCTGTTCATTGAACAGTACAATGCATATATGTACATGGCATATAGATTATTATCTATCCACAACTGAACATGAAGTTGCTGTAATAACTATAAGAATCGGACGAAATGGAGGCTCAGTTCAAAAACGTTTTCAATATCTAAACAATTTTTATTTATGAAATCAATCTTCAAACTCATTACCCTAAGGTTTTAAATCACGTTTTTGAGATTTTCAAAGTTTCATTCCTTTGTTTTTCTTTTCATGTAATTGTCCACTTTGTCATCAAGACCCACAATTTTAAAAAAATTGGAGAATCAAGTTTATCTTAGAAAAAAATAGAGGACGACATAATAAGTATTATTATGCTGAAAATAAAAAAAATGGAATTGTTGCAAAATGTGACCCTTAATCAACAGGCAAAACAGTTTGTAAAGAAAACTGATTAATCCTAAAAGAAATATATCGTGATTTTTGTTATTTAATATTTAAAAGTTGATACAATTATATATATGGAAAAAGAATTTTCTCACGTTAATATAAGTTTTAAAACTCTTACATTGGATTCGAACCTTTCATTTAACTTACATATAACAGTTAATAAAGTAATAAATTATACTACATCTGATTTTTTTTTATAAGAAACAAAAGACTAAATTACTGGAACTAAAAAAAGTAATTAAGTCAGTTATATTTTCATAAATATAAATTTTATTCTAAGAATACCCATGATATTAAATAGTGTAGTTAGTAATTTGTATATTTAATGATACTAATAAAAGAAGGTATAAAAAAATTTAACAATTAATACATTTTGAATCTATTATTTATTTTTTATAATAAGGACCAATAAAATGTTCTATTTTGTTTCTTATAAAAAAGATCAGAAGTAGTAATTGATTATATACAAATTAAATGAAAGACTTAAATTAAGTGTAAGAGTTTTTAAACTTATAATAATATAAGAAGATCTTACTATATATATATATATAGGGACAAAATCTTTTTACATTGGTGTAAGTCTAAAAACTCTTAAACACAATTTAAATTTTTTATTTAATTTAAATCTAACGAATTATAATTTATTACTTACTGACCGTTAGATTTAAGTTAAATGAAAGGTTCAGATTAAGTGTAAAATTTTTTAAACTTACACTAATATAAAAAGATTTTTCTCCATATATATATATATATATATATATATATAAGACAAAAATAAGTTACATTTAGTTGTAAAATATCATTTTTCAATATTAAACATATCGCTTTAATTAGCTAATACACAAAAGTACATGCAATAAATCTATAGTCAATCACATTCAATTATGTTCACGTGGGTGTGACATTTAATAAACATGTGTACTGATTATTTTTCTTACTCAATCTATTATTATGACTTGTGCTTTTACATATTTATTAGGTTAATGACAAATATTACATGAGATAAATTTGAAGAGTTGAGGCATAGTTAAATTTGATTATATTCGTAGGTCTGAAGATTTATTTAACAAGAGCTTTTGTGTTTGAATTTGAATTATACTGTGCAAATTTATTTTTTTTTTTTTTGAGTTAGTAGTAACTACAAATTGTGAACATAAATTAGTCTAGCCTTTTAAAACTAAGGACACTTTGTGACCTTTAACCTTTTAAAAAAATTATTACACGATAACATCTATTATATTTTAGTATATAAAAAATGTTTTTCAACATAAATAATGTTACATGATAATGTCACAATCACTATATTTTGTATTTAACATGATTTTTTTCTTAAATTAATTTTTTAGTAAATAAAATTCTAATATATTATATATGTTTTGCCATCTAAAGTGATGCTGGTTGAATTCCTTTTGAGACATTTTGTTTGCTGTTTAAAACATTTTTCTATTTTAATAATAAATAAATTAATAAAGACTCATTAAACAAGTGTCAATCATATTTTTTATATTTTAAAAATATATTATACGTTAAAATAAAATAATATGATAAAATATTTAATAATTTAAATTTTTTATGAAATTTTATAAAATTGATCTTCATGATAAAAACTTTCATACTAGTGGTTTAAATAACATGAAATAATTCTAAATGTTTAGAATTAATAAATTTAGTGAAAATTTAATAAGATTTTAATGATTGCATAAGATTTAAGATTAGAGTTTAAAGAGGAGAGATTTTGTGCTTTTTAAAAACAATAATTTAAACTTTTGGTTAAATATGTTATCTTTGTAAAATTTTTAAAAAATTATTTTAGTTCTTAATTAAAATTTATTATTTTTAGTTTTTAAAAATTAAAAAATCATATACCTTTATATCTTGTTGGGGGGGGGGGGCAAAAATGAATAAAATTAAATAAGGACTAAATTTACAGATTATTAATTTTATAAATATTAAAAATATATTTAACTTTTAAAAAGGCACTAAACCGTATATGTTCATAATTCAAACTAAAAAAAAAAAACCAAAATTACAGTGTGGAAGATAAAATATTTATTTATCATTAGAATAATTTTAAAACTTACATATAAGTATAGATATTTGTAATATGAATTTTTTTAATCAATTTAATTTATTATATATTATACCAGAAAATTTTGTTAATGTGAAATATGTGACGATATTACATCTTAATAAATTTTTAATTAGTTTTTAGCAACTATAAATCTATTTAATAAAAAAATATTTCAATCACTTAACTATTCGGTAAATTTGCACTAAAAATATTTTGTTCAAATACTCTATTAAAATGGATCTAATTATAAATAATCTTTTAAATACGTACATCAATGGGTATATAAATATTTTTAATCAACATAAATTTTTTTAAATGTAATTTATATATGATAACAACTTTCAATCTAAGGTTGATTAACATCTAAGTGTTAGTTGACTAAAACAAAACGGAATTTTGCATTTGTTAGGTTATGAAATCCTCACTCATCTTCTTAGAATGAGGTAAAATTAAAGTCTTTAAGTAAATATTTATGTAGCACAAAAAAAATAAAATTCTAATAGTGGAATATTCTAAGTCAAAATCATATAAAAATAATATCATCGTTAATTTTGATGTAATGTCAAAATAAATTTTTTTACACTATTAATTAATTAAAAAAATTGTATGACTTTAAATTATTTATTAAAAATTTAATAACTATTATTATATAACAATTCATAATTAAATAATAACATATATTATTTTTTACACTATTAGCGTACTTTAAATAAATTCAAATATAACAAAGTTAGGATAACTTATATATGATATAAGTTAATCTCCTCATTTTATAATATAAATATGATTTAAGATTAAAATTTATTCTTTTAACTAATTGATTAATTAGTTACATCTAACTATATTTGAATTGAATTCACATGTAAAAATATAATAATTATATAAATGTATGAAGAAGTATCCGGTGAAAATGTTCTTTTAATATGAGAAAATAATAAATTTGAATTATATAAAATTAATTTTTTTTAAATCACGTAACTGCTTAAAGAATGTTATGGCACCTTTTAAAATTATTACATGATTTTTACGTATTAATTATAATCACTTGTAATAATATATATATATATATATATATATATATATATATATATATATATCTTTTATTTTCTTTTTATATCCAAAACCGGAAGTAGGAAAAGTATACGCCCATGGTTTCAGCCTATTCCGTATTCACCTCTCAGTCATCCGTACGTTTACAATGGTAACTTTTGACTCTCTTTTTTTCTATCATATTAATATTTTTTTATTTTACATAACAAAAAAATATGTTTTCAAAAGGTAAATTTATTTAAATTAATAACATTTATGATAGTAAGGTTAATTTTGTTTGATAAAGATATTTTATTACAAAATTTGAATCCATAATCTTAATTTAAAAAATCAAATATATGCGATTTAACACAATTATCGTTTGTAAAAAAAATTGTAATATGTTGATGCTTATATATTCGCATAATTTCGTGTACCAAACTACTTATTTCGTTTATTAGTTTTACTGTTAATTACGCATGAAAGCTGGTGAGTCGTTGTTTTATGAAGTGAATATAAAAAAAATTAAAATCACAAGTAATATCATATATAATTATTTTTAAAATTTAATTTTAGTATATTTTTAATGTAATTTTTTATATTATCAATTAATTAAAATATATCATAGACATATGTTATATTACAATTTTTATTATTGTGATGATATATTATTAAATAACAGCGGAAGAAACTTTTACATTAGTATACTTTTTATTGAATTTCTATTCACACATATATAATACATTCTAAAATTAAATAATATATATTTGTATTATTTACAAACTGATTTTTAATTTTATTAGTGTTTATTAAAATATTAACATTTAAATAGAATAACTAGAATCCCTTGCTGTGAAATAATAACATGTAATATTTGTAACGCATTGAAATAAACAATTTAAATTAAATCATTCAAAAGCTTTTTTATTAAGATTTCAGATGACATATTAGAACCTTAAAACTTATTATTCATTGCGCAAAAAAAATATTTTATTAAATGATTAATGTTGTCTTAAATATAAATATAAAATAATTCTTATATCTGTCATATAATAATTTTTAAATACCTTTTGGTTTTAAATTTTTATTTTGTTTGCATAAATATAAGAGTTTAATTTTAATGTATTATGAGTATAAATATTTTTATATTATTATACAAGACTTTTAAATTAATTATTATAAAATTATTAATTTTAATTTTAAACTAACGGAGGTTGTTAAATAGAAAATTGATTTTCTTTATTTAACAAACCTAGCTAAAACCGTACACTATACAACTTTAAAGTTTTATTCTTCTTTTTCTTCCAAACTTGTTTGTTCTTCTTCTTCTTCTTCAACTCTTCTGTTATTTTCACACGCATAAATTTCTAGTAAGTTACCTTGGCTATTCTTTTGTCTGCATTATTTAACATTAGCGTATATATGTTTGAATAATTCCCTAATGCCTTTCAATTATTATTATTCGAATTTCTTTTCAGTGAAAGACGATTTTAGCCATAGGTGTTGTATTCAATACCTCAGACTTTCGTTTCATTGGTATGCCAAAAGAAAAGAAGAAAAATTCGTGAGGGAACCCTAGTAGATGGGGAGAGGAAAGATTGCTATTCGAAGAATCGAAAACTCGACTAACCGACAAGTGACTTTCTGCAAGAGAAGAAATGGGTTACTGAAGAAAAGTAGAGAACTATCTATTCTCTGTGACGCTGAAGTTGGATTGATTGTGTTTTCATCCACGGGCAAGCTTCATGAATATGCAAGCACCAGGTAAAATCAATTTTTTTCTCTCTTCATTTTCCTATATTTCGTAGTCAGTGATCAAAATCTGAGTGCTTATTTATTATTTTACCTCTTTTCTTTTTTAGGAAAAAAAAGGAACTCTTATTAATTTTAGGTGATATAATTAATTGAATACATATACACACGTTGATTGTGGTTCTCGTATACTTTGTTGGCTTGATTCTAATTTCACTCTCTACTATAACACTGGTAAAATGAAAATAAAGGAGTATTTTTAAGTGTTAGAAACAAGTGAAATCTGATGTGTGATATTCGGGAATCTAAGGTATTAGATTCCAAAACTAAAACACAAGAATAAGCCTTTTTCGCTTTGATGATACACTTCAAGCAGTGACTAATTTTTGCTATCAAACCTAAAATTTTGTCGCGATATTGTTAACCTTAAAAAAGATCAAGAAAAAAAATGTTCTTCTGGGCTACTTTGTGTTGGAGGCTTGGACCCATAATCTAGTTGCCTGCATTTGAACCAGACAAGTTTCCTAGGAGATTCGCTTTCCTGGATTCTATGTCTCGGTTAAACCTAGTGTGTTTGCTATGCTCACGGTTTAGCTTATTTCTAACATTATTTTTTTATAAAGCGAAATTAATTGAAGGGGTTGGTACCCTACTTAATTATGTACATATATAGCTTATCCCTAACATTATGTTTCTCAGATAGATATAGTCGTTTTCGGCCTTACCCAGAATTTAACTAGTTTGGGAGCTAGCTATTTACGTTTGGAAACTGCATCCTCCATATCTCAGCTCTCCGACAATAGATTCTTGCGTTGTACCTATTTGAATTGCAACATATTTTTGTGAGCCTTTTAAGTATTTTGATACTACCCAGTAAATGATACTCTATATACTGACACTTAAATGGATCGCAGTTATTAAATACATATCATTATATGTATTCATGCATACTTTTCTTTTACTGATAATGCGTTACAAATTAAGCAATATTCATTCAACAAATACTACTTACTATTGGGTTAAGCATGATAAAAAATATCAAATCAGCCACCAATTGTCTAATTGATTCAACGTACGAACTGCATTAATTGTAAAGCATGGTGTATATATAAATAAATTTCATCTGAAGTTACATACAGTAGTAATATTAATGAAAGTTTACGTACTCACTCACATTTTCCCCCATTGTATTGTAACTATAATTTGATTATTTGCAAAATGTTGAAATAGTCTAGTTATTTTATATGTTCTTATTTAATTTCATATTAGTGACACAGTTGATCATTTCTTTTTTTGTTATGTTTGTGGTAAATACCACACAACATTTCTAGCATTCTTGAAACGTCATATACTAAACTTAGGTCATTGTTAACAAACTTTTAAGTTGGGTCATTAAGCCAATGCTAGTCAGTAGTCAGCTCCTTGAAAAAAAAAAGCTGATATAATGAAAGCTAAAGGCGTCCCATTTAAGTCATTTTTCGCTTACAATGTCAATTTGCTTGACTTAAATTACTTACAGTACATGCATTGTGTGAATTTAAAAAAGAAGAAGAAGAAATACAGTACAATATAGACATAAAACTTTCATGCGGTTATCTTATACTATTAATGATCTAATAAAATATATACTATAGAAGAAGAAAGCATATATTCGAGTTATATAATAAGCTATTTTTGACCGGTTCTAGAAATGCATGTCCAAAGCTAGCACTAGCACTCCCAAAATAAATCTCGTACTTGAAAGGAAATAAGTGCCTTCTCAGATACGTAATATTGGGCATTTCTTTCATGTTTACTAATGGTTATAATAACCGTGGTTAATATCGTGTTTTTCTGTAGTGTACAAAGACATGAGCAATGTCGCTACATAATGAAACATCCTATTACTTACTTTGGTGAGAATAAAAAATAAATAATTAAATAAAATCTCAAATTAGGAAAACAGATCAGTCCACCTCATCGTGATTAGTATAGTTGTGTGTGTATTTTGACCCGTATTTACACCATACAGTATGAATATTATGTTTTTTTTTTTTCACGTAAAATGATATTACGTATTACTTGCGTGTAAAATATAATTGTTTTGATGGAAGTACCTTATTGCTTTACTTTGGATTAAAAATGAAGTTCATTTTCCATCTCATTAATGTTGGCTTCTACAATATTAATAACAGCATGGAATCAGTCATTGAGCGCTATGACAAGCAAAGAGAAGACCATTATCAACCAGTGGATCCTGCTTCAGCAATCAAGGTATGTAACACGTCTGCCATTAAATCCTCCAGATATTCGAGCTTTCCTCGATATGGTTATACCAACTAGACACATTCATGATTCCAATAGTTTGCATGTATTGGTGTCAGTAATTAAGCTTGTGAGACAAAAAAACCAATAAATAATTAAATACTAATATCTTAGTTAATTTTCTTACAAAGGATATAAATCTAACACAGATGTTAAAACTATGTTAACCGGAATTGATCATAATATTTTTTTTTAATAAAATTTGAGTAATTCTTTTGATTCAAACTAATTTTTTGGAGTGATTTAAGTTTGACCCGATTGTAATATAATATTAAAGCTTATCTAATCTTAATGTTAAACTACCTATAAATGTTGAATCTTAAATATAAAAAAGCGTATTAACATGTATCAAATTGGCATGTATTGTTAAATTTTTCCTACATTTGACACATTCTTTGACATGAAAATTGGCTTAATGGGTAGTGTCAAACTACGTTGCCTCAATTGAAAGTTATAGATAAAGTCTTAACGGTGATCCTTAGTATCCGTGAAAATTGGTGTAAATCAGAGAAGCTTTACATACACTAAAATAAGTTATATATTAATATTTAAATGTTGTTGATTTTGTCTCAATTATTGAACCTTTGTTTAACAGAAACTAAAATTTTTCCCTTTATAATTGCATATTTTGTTTGTCACTTAACAGACCTTATTTAATAATTTGAGATTACTTTGTTGTATTATATGATAACTTGAAAGGACAAAGATATTAATAAGTCGACAAAACAATTTATACAGGTATGCACTTATACGATATATAATGAGAGGATTTTGTTTTACGTGAAACTAAGAGAAATATACATTCATCATGAAATCTTATTAAGATTAGTCAAAATTACAATGCATAAGTAATGAATTTCTATTAAAGAAATCATATAACTTTATTAAATGATTGTGGATTTTTAATTTTAATTATATATGTATGTTTACTGTTTAGATTCACTTTCCTCACTTACAACTCGGATTTATTCTCCTTACTTTGTGTTGGACAAAATTAGTAAATTAGCCTTCTAACTTTAGATCTTATTTTGATTTAGTCTTTTAATTTTTATTTTATTTTCAATTTTGTAACTTTTAAATGTGTTTTACATAAGTTATTTTTTTTATGATGTTAAACTTTGTCAACTTTATTCTTTTCTTTTTTTACAATTATTGTTTATTGTTTTCTTTATTATTCTATTATTTCTTCCTCCTCCTCTTCCTTTTCTTCTACCTCCTCTTCTTCTTTCTCTTAATTTCCTTTATTCATCTCCTCTTCTTCTTTCTTTACTCATGTCACACACAATTATGGGATGGGATGTGAGACAAGTAATTAGCGAGGCCGGAGGTGGTTGAAAGTAAAGCAATTATAGCTTATGGCCATTAGGTGAAGTGGCTAGAGGGATAGATAGTAAAGAATATGTGTTGGATGGAGTTTCAATTGATGGTGCAATGTATAATGATTACATTGGATGGTTCAATGCTGATGGAGTTAATAGTGTGGTGGAGATAATGAGTTATTGATGTGGTGATGAGTTCTAAGATGGTAGTCTTAATGTTATTATAGTAGGGGCAATAATAGTATTTTATTCTTAATGCTTCAAATGCTTAATAACTCATGATATGGTGTTATTTTGTTTGATAATGATAACCTCTTTATCAATTAAGAATGACTTAATAGTGGTTGGGACTGAGAAGGAAAAATGAAAGATGGAGATAAAAGAAGATAATGAAGAATGATTAGAAGAAAAAGAGAAAAAATTTAATATAATTCAAAATCATAAATAAAAAAGGACTTATTTAAAATGTATTTGAAAGTTAGAATACTAAAATAAAAAAATTAAATTAAAATTAAAAATAAAGTCAGAAAACTATTATACTAATTTTGCTTAAGATGTACTTCTTTGCATTAAAGTCTTTGCTTGGTCTTTAAATTGAGTTTATATTTGCTTAAGGATAAGAAAAAGTTCAAATTTAGATAATTCAGGTACATGAACTATTTGGAGGCATTATATATTTACTATTTAAACTGATCAAAACATTAAGTTGGTAGCAAGACATTGAACTCAATGAATCTCAAAGTAAAATTTGTAAAACAAATTAAAGTTTGCAAGTTTTTATTTTAAATTATTAAATTAAAAGAAAAACAAAGAGTGAATTATAAAGTATGAATTAAAGAATAAAATAACTTTTAATTGTAACCAGATAAAGTTGATAAATGTTAAGGTCAGAATCCTCTTATCTCTCCTTTCACATGTATCAATTTGTTTCTTAACTTCTAGACTCTACTTCTTTAATATCCAACCTTCTACTTAATTAAAACTCTTAATTCCTCGAGTAATTCCAAGTCAAGCAAGTTATAGGTATAAGAAATACCAATCATTCAACAACCAAATTCTATTCCTAAAATCTAAGTTGTTGAAATAATTACTCCAAGTTCATTTTATTTTATTTTTAATTCTAACCATGCATTTGAATCTCAAATGCTCTTTTAGCTGGTCATTTAAAAGTATTAATTTAAATAGAATCACGTATACCAATCAAAGAAGAGAAAAAAGTTAATCCATGTAAAATTAAAATTAAAATTCAGTTATTCCTAAATAGAAATTAATTACAGATCATAAATATAAGAAAAGAAGTAGAAGAGAATATAAATAAAAGATCAAACTTCAATAAATTTGAAAAGATAGAGTTTGATTCTTCAAGATTCAAAGTTTCTACAATGTCATTTTAGAAAAATTATGACAAACTTAGAAAGAGTGTCTCGTACTAAAAACTTCCTTCCACTTACATCACTTAAATACTATTTATATTCTACTTGTGTGAACTTTGAAAATTGTGTGACCCATATACCATGGACCTAAATTTCTCTTTACATGGATCATGAACACTTTAAATGTCCACATGACTTATAATAACAAATCATTTTTACCATTTTAAATAATATAATTATACGTAAAATTTTGTGTAACTCAAAAGTTCACATGATAGAATGTTAACTTCTTAGTTCATTTGTTTCTCTTCTAAGACTTCAATAAAGCTTTTAATTTTAAATTTCTGCACTTCTTGCCTTAACCCAAGTTTCATTGAATCTTGCAAACAAATTAAGAATTAAAAGAAGATCAAGATTTAAAGTCACTTTTATTCTAAAATTTTCAACAAACCTAAAAATACTTAAAAACTAATAACTAATGCAAAATTAACTAAAGAAATTACCTTAAAATAAACACTCAAAAGTTATCTAAAACATAGGCAACAAATATAAAATCCTAAGAAAATACAATGATAAATGAAAACACGTAAAGAGTTAAAGAAATTGTGGCTAGATTTTTGTGTCTTATGAGAAAATTGGAGATGACTTAGTACATTCAACATACGTACAAAGAAGGGAGATTAGTTACTGTTAAGCTTTTTCAAATGAGTTATTTTGGTCCTTCCTTAGCCTCAAATTTTTTAGTCCTTACAATGTATGAATCAACATTAAGTAAACCTAATTTGTTGACACTATAAATTTTAACGTTAATTATATGGCCATAAAATTGAAGAAATAATTTATAGTATATATTTCATAAAAATATTATTAGATTAAGCTTAAAATTTTACATAATTTTTAAAAAATATTAGTTTTAAAAGAGTATGATAAGGTAGTTATAAGATAGTTAAATCGAGATTTAAATTATGAATCATAAGATCTATTTTCTGAATTGTAAATTAAATCATATTTTAAATCTTAAGATTTAAGATTAATAATTTAAGACATAAAAAATATAAATATAAGAGTATTATAACGTAAAGAAACATCAAAACATCTAATATATTAACATTTTGAAATCAAATATGTACCTAACAAAAAGAAGAGAAAACAAATAAAAAAATAGAAATTGTTGCAATGACAGAGGGGACCACCAAAAATCTTGAAAAAGGATGCAGTGAACAAATGTCAAAAAATTTGACTTTTCTAGTGAACAGAAAAATAGAAGAGACATAAAAAAGATGATTTCTCCAATGAAATGGAGCAGGTGAGCCTACAGACTAGCTGATTTTTCTGGCAAAATGGAATGGATCCACCAATGAGAGTAGGAAAAACCGCTACTCAAGATCAGACTTTTTGCTGAGAGAAGAGAGGGTGAGGAAGATGAAATTAACACGTTTTATAAAGAGTAAATGACTTTTTACCTTTAAAAAATAATCCAATCAGTGTATTTTATAAAAAATAGAATAGGATTTCTTTCTTTCTCCAAAATCACCATATAGTGAACATCCCTCTGTTTTGACTACAAACACCCGCACCTGCCGTGGTACCAAATGCCCCGCGATGTGGCGACCAACGGCCACACCGCACTGCTCTAATTCAAGCACTACTCGATTTGCAAAGGAATTGTGTGCTGTCATCCAGATTCACGATTTAGCTCAATACATACGATTCAAGTGATTATGACAACAATTCAAATGTTAAATCGATTCTGCCATATGATTCGTATTTTTAGACTACAAAATCGAATCAAATCGTTAGTATCGTATCATGAATCGTACAATACTAACTACACTGAATATGACACATTAGATTGAGTTAAAATGGCTTGAAATATAATTTGAGCATCACTCTCATAATATGTTGGTCTAATTTCTAAAATTTAATCTCTTCAAAGGCTTGAACAACAATGGTATTGATCTCATAATCAAATGTATAAGAAGGAGAGGTTGACAATGACGTCTTTCGCTTTAGAGGATAGGGTTCAAGCAAAATCTAATAAGAAAAAAGGTAGATTGATTCATTTAGAGTTAGAAAGAAGCAAGTCTGACTCATATACAACCAAATTCAAAATCCAGGATTTTTCCAATTTTACAATGTGAATAACGATTTCACCGTATTTGGATTTCATGAGTAACTTGATTAATTTCACTGTATTTTACAATGCCCTTAACCATTGGACTACTAATATTTGTACATTTAAACTAAAGGATAGCGATGTCACACTCATTGGAGGTCCTAATTCTTAGCTAAGGTGGGTGTAATGGTTATTTTGGTTGCAGTTTAGCTAACTAGTTGTAGTGCTTGTCATTAAGGTATTTTCTTTTTGCCTCACATAAAGAGCGTTGTTCTCTAATATTTATCTAACCAATTTCTCTGCTTTCAAAACAGCAAACAAACAGGTTAGGCATCATGATTTAGTTTGATAATTAAAGACTTAAAGCATACAATAATGCAGGTTCATTGATTTAGTTAGCACCATTATCCTTCACAATCCATCTTATTGTAACCACCTCCTTGTATGTTCCATATTGGTAGGCTGTAATGTCGAAGCCTTATAATCGAATTAAGTTCTAAAGATTTAACTTATTTATTAAGTAGACTAAACCATCGTAATTTAAAAGTAAACGAGTTATAAGCTGTATTTAGCTAAACAGTTAACTCCCGCTATTTTTTTATTTGTCATCTTTAATTAAAATTTGTTGTTTCTATGTTTAATTATCACTTTAAGAAGTCTAAAACAATATTAGTTGCTCTTTTCATCAAGTATATTCTTAAAATAAAAGAATAATTAATCAATAAAAGAGATAATTAAGTGCAGTAGGACATGAAATGGTAATTTTAATTAAAAAAAATAGGAATGTTAAATCAATCTATTCCTTGATTCTTGTATAAAATTTCAATAAAAATGAGAATATTATATATATATTCCTTAATTCTTCTACAAAATCTTAAAAGGATAAATAATAAAAATGAAGAGAATAATTAAATACATTTAATAAACTTTTATTACAGAAAAAAGTTGTGTCATAATTTGATCATAAAATATATTAAAATAAATTTATAAAAATCATAAATTATTTTTATAAATTTAAATATATTTCTCATATGTTTTTTTAAATACCCTCTCAAAGGCCTTTTATATATAAGTTGCCGGCCTATATCTAATCATATAAGACATTTATATCAGGGTTGCTTAACCCATATCTTGGGTTAAGGACCAATTCCTAAACCACAGTACCACCACAGTTGTTTGAGGTGAATTTGTAAGTTTTGTGCAGAAAAAAATATTTCTTAAATTCTGATTAGAGGAAAAATAAAAGAAAGATATAATCACTGAGTAGAGTTATTCTATTTTATCTTTTAATCTTAAGTTTAAATATTGTGAATGCAATTCTGTTAAATATTCAAAGAAATTTTTTTATTACTTACAGTAATTTTACTTAATTCAGATAGAATAACTTTAATAGAGAATACCTATTGAAAGTATTCGATGATTGTGTAAAGAAAAAAGGTAACGAGTAAAAACATGAAAGAGAATTATATTATACCGATAAAAAATAAAAAATTATAAAATATGTATTTATGCAACTCATGAATTGCGCACCTTAGTTGATGCTCTAAGTTCTCTTATAGGACTTTGTAGCATTGACAATTAGGGAAAATTTTGACAGGTGCAAATCTATTCTTCTTCACCCCTGCACATTTTCAATATTCCGTAACATAATTATGCTATATATATCTGATATATGCAGTACTCTATTGGCTAGTTTTGGCAGGAAAAAGCAGCAAGCGTGAAGCAACAACTACAGCACTTTGAAGATTGCCACAGGTAAAAAGCTAAACTCCCAACAATTGCATAGTTGTCATTGACGCTAGTCATAAATATGGAAACTAGCGAGTTACTTGAACTCTTTTGGTAAGTAATTAAAAGAAAAAGGAGGCATGAAACGTTGAACTCAACTGTAAAAGATATAACTGATAATTATAGAATAGGAAAAATTATACAACCATATATTCAAACACCATTCAACAGATTAAAAGACTAAACAAAACTAGAACATGGGTCTGATAACCCAATGGAAACATGTCCTTTTTGTTAATCATTTTATGAAGTCTTCAACCCTGTATTCAATGTCTTAAACACCTTGATTGGCGTACCAAACTTTTGGATTCAAACTCGCAAATCTGCCATTTGAAATTGCCTTGATAGGACACTGTTCTAGAAAATCAGATTTTAATGCCTATCTTTATCTATAAACTTACTTAGGTGCTTCAAAAACAAAATCTATTGCTACAGATAAATTTGGGACCTAAGCTGATACAGATTCCAACATAAACATGTTAACTGATTAATGACCAACTTTTAGCTCAAAACAATTTCTTTTGACCAGCCATTCAATATTTTACAGCTAAAGGCTAACTAAACCTGAACCATAAACTCCAGGGTATTGGTGTTTACATTTACCAGCCTTCATAGAACTTTATCCAAGCATGTTAATTTCCTCAAACTGAGCTGAGAAGGTGCATCTCCATAGCATACTCCTAGTTAAATGTAAAATTCATTTAGTTAAGAAGGAACAATGAACAAAAAAATTTAGAAATTAACCTCACTCAGAAACTTGGCTTCACCAAACGAGCTAAATTTACCTTCACTACAAAATGCAAACTAGTTGCAACCTACATAACTTGGACAGCCACCTCCTTCAACCTAAACTTTCCATACCCAACTAGACAGCTATAAAACCCGAAAATTGGGTGAAAAACAATAGCTTCAATCTGTGAGATAATTTTCAAAACATGAAGAGTTATCTTATTTTTTAAAGGATGTATTGGTTCATTTAAATGAAAATTTTGTCTTGTTTGATATTGAAGAGTTGTTTTATTTGGTTCAAAATAAAAAGTTGTCTTAATTCAATTCAATAATTATAATATTTCAAGTAAAAATGTGATTAAAAAACGAATACACATCAAGTGAAAGGATGTGACTATTTATACGCAAAAATATATAATTAAAATAATATATTCATGAGCGCACAAATCAGAATAAATGATATTCACTAGAAAAATATAGAACTTGAAATTATGTAATTTTTTTTATCAAAAGATATCAATTAAATTGACATGATTTTTTTAGTAAACACAAAATGTTACATCGGGACATTCTTCAAAGACATTTGACACAATACAATTGACATAAAATGAATACTTAATCCTCACTTTATTCTTTCAGAAAATTCACAAATGCGTTTGTCTTAACTTCGATGCAGTAGAGATAATATGTAAAACTATCGTTATATAAAAGTCATTGTTGTGACAACTTGGATTGTGAAAGTGTAAATCATATTCGAAGGTTTTTTTTATTGTATTATGAAGAAAATTTACCATCAAACTCATTTTGCATCCAAGTTATTGATGGGACAAATAAAATTTAAAGAGATATATCTATATGTCTTGAAGATATTGTGTACATTTTTTTTCTAATTTCTTTTTCTGTTGTTCAAAGATTCATTCCTACCAATGCAATTAATCACAGTCTTCTCTTAAATGAAAGTCAAAACATCAGCTCATCAAGATCCCATAACCATTTAATGCCAGAATATACATTGGGTGTGAACATATCATTTTTCTTTTAAATTTTAAAGATTGATACTTATATATTTAACATGATTTCACAACCTTTTGCACTTGTTATTTACTCAATGAAGTGTGTGTGTGATAAACTCAATTTAATAAAATATTATGAAAAATTCTAAATTAAGCTCAAATTTCTACTAATTCTTAAACTATTATCTTGTAAATGAGACTATAATGCATTTATCTTTAAATTTAAAATATAAAATAATTATATATAAATGCTTAACTAATAATATAATGATTATTCTTTTATCAGAAAAAGAATAGTATTAAAAGAATTACAGTAGGTAACCCAACCCTTATTCAAAAGTTTCAGATCACAAGCAATATATAGGAAAGTCATAACAAAGATTAGAAAAGCAATCCGAAACAAAACATGAAAACCCTACAAACCTAACCTTAATCCAGTCAAATTATCTAATTTTAGTAAGCTCAAGAACATGCTGAACATTCCCAAAATGCATGCATGTGCAGTTATATAGATTGTAGCATACCAACTTTGCTTCGCTTTCTTCCTCATCCTAAGACCAGTATATGTTGAAAGAAATGAGTCTTGCAGTCCAATGGTAGCACCACCTGAATTCCCACCCAATCATAACCTTAATTTGTTCTAAACATGATACGAGAAATTACAAGCAAAGACTAGGTAGTGACTCGAGCTCTCATCCCTGTCCAAGCAAAAACCACATCTAGAATCCATATTTTGCATAATACACCTTTTTCTGGTCCAAATATTCCTTACTTTACAAATTACAACCTGTCCAAAATTAGTCTCCAAGCACAAATGGATACCTTTGGAGGCACAATTTTGGACCAAAACAGATTGAAAAAAATATTTGTTGACAGCCATAGCAAAAAGGTAAATATTCACCCCGAGTTGTCTAGCTTCCATTGCCAAGAGTATTGTTCAAATTGCCTGATCTGTACTGAGTTGATCTTTTTCAAAAACTCTTTCCATTTTCGGCCTTTCCCACTCGAATAGATGCTTGTGCCACGTCAGATTCCATTGCCACTGATCATTATTGTTGGGTATGAAAAGCATTGGAATTCTTTAATGAAAAAATATCCAGCATTACAACTGTTTCTGTAGTATAATTTTTATCTAAAAATATATCTATTAATATAAATATTATGGATGCATACTAAAGTTATGATATTTTATAGGAACTAACAAAGAATGTGTATATCTTAATGAACTATGTATTATTTATGTATTCAAGCCTGAAAAAAAGGAGGAGAATCCAGGCCAGCTAGCCCATCTCATTTTGTTTGAGCTTTACTGAATATAAAACCTGCAAGAAATTTTGTAAGTGAGGTTTTTCCCATTCAAATAACTCCTCTCACCATTTTAAATCTCATGATGTATTATATTATTAGTATAAACGTATAATATCTATATTAATTACTCCCTCTTATCCTTTTTATAAAAAATGAAAACGTAAATTACCTAAATCAAAAGAAATTTAACAATTAATGCATTATGAATTTATCATTTATTTTTTATAATAAAGACTAAAAAATATTTTTTTTCTTAAAAAAAAGATCGGAAGGAGCATTTATTTTTTAAGATAAATATATATTTTATTCTAACAAAAAAAAATATTAATTAAAATTAATCAACTATCAAAGATTTAAAAAATTTCTGAATCCAACACCTGTAGCTTCTGAAACACACAAGAAACGATATTGTGACAAGAAACCTACTATATTTGTATTCCAATCACATAATTAACGTGTCAGCAATAGACAAATCTAAAGACCAGGTAGGATTCAATACTTTCTTTCTGATAGCAGGCAATTGATGGGCGAAGAACTTTCTGATTTGGGTATTAATGAGCTACAGCATCTGGAAAAACAACTGCTGATGAGTCTGAAGAAGGTTCGCATTAAAAAGGTATCTTGGTTTAAAGTCAAAACTAATCTAAGCCCCTCCTTTGAAGTACATGTTTGGTTTCCATTAATTTTTAGTAAAAAGCTCCTATTTATTTATTCTAAAGATGTTTTAATAAAAAATTGATTTTGTTAAGTAGTTTTCAACGCATTGGCCAACCCAAAATTGTAGTACATATTAAACGAGATTAATTCAGGTGGTACATGGTTATTTTTGTTTAAGTAAGATTTTAGTTTCAAAATTTGTGAATGAAAAAAAGAAAAAACCTGCTAGAGAAGTTAGTCTCGCTATGTTGTGGATGTTCCTGGCTAGAACAGCCTTTGTAGATACCTCTAATCTGGAGAAAGAAATGAAGCACATACCATCCTTTTTATAGCATATGCACGACTCTTACATGTCATTAATTTATTTACCTGCAGGATCAAACTTTTACTGATAAGATCAAAGAATTACACGAAAAGGTTTCTGGCATCAGATTTTGTTCCTTTAATTATTCAAAGGTATTTATCTTCTGACTATCGAATTTCCGTTGACTCCATTAATTAATTGCAGGGAAGCCTCATACACCAACAAAATGCAGAACTTCATAATAAGATAGACCTTATGCATAAAGAAAAAACAGAACTACAGAAGGTAAATTATAATTTAAGAATATGTCATTAGTACTTATAGTTTCATAAAGGAAAATGTTGATAGCTGTGAAACCCGTATTTAGTAAAGGGCAGAAACAAAAGGTGAAATTTCGCCCTCAAAAAACAACTTTGATTTCTCTCTCATTACAACCATTTTTCAACCCATCTCCTCTGGTCGTCATAAAGTCATTCCTACACTTTTCACTAAAAATTATTTATACAAAATGATGTATTATACCATGAAAATATATCAATACACACAAGCACTGCAGATGGAAAGTGCTTCAAATTGATTTCTGTTGTTTACTCATCCTTAGAAGGCTTCAAGTTTATTTTAGCTAAACCTAAATTAAAAGTTTGGATCTTAGGTTATTGAAGCAAGGCGTAGGGAAGAAGAAAAAACAGCATCCAATCCTGCAAACACTCACCGTTATGAATATGATATAGTTGAGCCTCTCAGTCTTCAGCTAAGCCAACCACAGCCTCAATACAGTGAAGCGCCAGAAGAAGCCATGAATCTGGGGCATTCCCTCAAACTGTTGATATAAACATTAAGCTTATAATTATATATTTGGTTCAGCTAAATTTAATAGAAATAATCACTATTTTTTTTAAAATCTTATAAAAAAATAAGTGATTATTTTACCGAATCAACTGAATCAAATATTTTTTAGTCTGTAAATTGTTATCCTTATTTTCATTGTGTACTAAAGAGCTAATGTCTGCACTAGATTACAGCTGAAAAAAAAAACTGTTCAATAATCAGGTAGACATTTTTTCTTCATTTTGGGACAAGCTGGCAGCAACAAAGTCTATGAAAAAAATTGTGAACTAATTGTGTGGGATCTTGTGCTTCATGAAACACACCTGTTTTATTTAACTATACACATTAAGCATGAAACAGATGATCGGACTTGACAATTCTGAAGTTAAAAATTTGTAAAGTAAAATATAGCATATATTTATTGTTGATTTGAATTTAAGTATTTATTATATATAATTAATTTTTAATTCAAAGATAAACAAATATTCACACATCTATATTTAGAAGAGTAAAATTTAAATTTTTTCTAAGTTTTACCGTTATAATTAACAATCCATTGAATATATCATGATTACGTCTTACTAATAAAGAATTTATGCACACACACATATATATATATATATAATATACTTTTACAAAACTGTTGTATTATTTTTTTTATTTTTCTTCATGTCATCAATTATCTTATATTTTTTTATCCTTCTCTTATTTTTTTTTCTCACTTATACAAATAAGGTGTACACGTATAATTTCTCAAAAAGATATCATCATTCTGGTATGTTTTATGATTTCTGAATAAGCACATCATGAATGGTGATCAATTAAACAAAATGCAAATACAAACCCCGGTATAGGCCCTCTACCTGAATTAATAAGTAATAAACGTCAGAAAGAAAAGCATGCAGATAAATGTTGTTATAATATTTAATTATCTCCTATATTTTTCCATGAATAGTCGATTTTTTTTTTTAAAAGGACTATAACATTTTCGTATTTCAAGATCTAACTTGATTCAGATTGTCATATTATATTTTGAGGAAATTAAAACAAAAGAAGATTCTTTGTATCTCTTTAAGAAAAAGTCTAAAACATTTACACGATGACGATAGTACATTATATCATACTATTTCTTATTTAATTAAATAAGTTGATGGTCTAAGTCTAAAATCTTGTATTTCTAATAATAAATTTTATAAAATATATTATTTAGGTTAGGTCAAACTAAAAACTTTGTTCATGCAAAGTGAAATTTTTTAGTTTCGTAAAAGTTCCATTTTAGTATCTTAGAATTTCCGTAAACTCGATTCCAATAAATACACAAACAGGTGATAAATCAAAATTAATTACTACAATAAATGCTAACATTGAAAAAAAAACCAAAAGTCGACAATAATATTTAAAACTTGACTGTATTTTTTTTTTTATTAATAAAAAGAGTATTATTAAGAGGGTACAATGAGTATCCTAATCCATTTATATGCTCATCCTTCATAGTGTACATTATAAGCCTTTAAAGCAATAATACTTTGGTTCCCTTTTCCCCAGTCAATATATAATGGAACTAGTAACCTTTCCAATGGGCTTTAATCCAGTTCCAAGATGCTTAATCAAGTGAATAACAGTAAAAAGATTCAAAGCATCCCCTCTAAAAACAGCATTCTTCTTATGTATGTGTAACTATAATCATTAATGTCCATAACACAGCAAACCAAACACAGATACCAAGCTATTTTAATTTTTGCAGTTTATCGGAAAACCCAGCAACTATGTTGTACAAAATGCTCTTTACCTGATAATGGTAGGACCAAATAGTGTACAGTTTCCTCATCCCATTGCATCAAAATTGAATTTCACGGACAATTATGCAGTGAGGGGAAACGAATAAGAAAATAATCTTTCATTTTGGTGAGGGGAAAATAATTTCATCACACATGAAAAAATATTGATCAGAAGTTAAGTTATTGATTCAGAATGCTTTATTAACAAAGGCAGTAGGGGTCCCCTTTATTAAATGAAGTTAAAAATGATCATGACTAGGTATCATTATAAAAGTTACTTCTTCCGGTTCACACAGTACTAATGCATACTTTTTAGGAAATTGATTAATTTTTGTAACAGTTACAATAAAGTAAATTATTTTCATACAATATCTTAATTAAATTAAAAGTGCTTAAAATTAATTGTTAAACTAGCTTAAAAATATAACATAGATGATAAGGATATAATTAATTGTTAAATCAAAAGTTAAATTTTTAGTACTTATATATTTTAAATAGTTATAAACTTTTATATTTCAATATATAAAAAATTATTTATCATCTTAAAAATTAGGATATGATTTATCATAAAAAAATAGGCAAAATTACTCTTTTAATCTCTTAATTTTAAGATTAAATTTATTTTCGTTATCTAACTTTTTTTATTCATTTTTGTCTTCAAAGTATCTTTTTTTCACATTAGTTTTTTCTGTTAACTCTATTACATAACTTAACATAAATGTCATGTGACGCTGAGATGACATTAAGTTGTTTAGTTAATCTAACCTGAATTTTTAATTAAAAATAGTGAAGTCATGCTGAGTTGTAACTTCTCATTCTCCTTCTCCCTTTTCTCCTCCAGCAGCCCCTCCCCTTCCACAATCTCTCTTTCTCTTCCTCGCAGTCCCCTCTCTTCCCCTTCCTTCTCCCGTAATTCTATCACTCATTTCCCCTCAATCCAGGAGCTTTGTCTCCCTCCCAGCCTTGTCTCTTTCTTCTTGCAATCCCTTCTTTTCCTTCTTTGCAGCTCCCTCACCCCTTCCCCAATCCATCAACCTTATCTTGTTCTTCCTGCAGTCTCTCTCCCCTCCCCGTCCTCATCCTGCAATTTTCTCCACCCCTTTCTACAACTTATCAACCTTGTCTCCTCCTTCCTGTAGTCTCTTTCTCCTCTCTTTCCTTATTGTCAACACTATTTATGGCAAGAATATCTCAATGGAGGAATCCCTACATCATAAATAAGTTTGCTAGTGTTCTAATTTCTTTATTAGCATTGTAGAAAATTGTCCTAAATGGAGGAATTCTTACATTATAATACAAAATTTTGTTAGATTTCTTAGTTGTCATTTCACTTGAGAAAATTTCTCAGGTTTAACCTCCTAATTATCATTTTTGGGTATAGAAAAAGGTCTACCCATCATGGTGGAAAACATACTCATCTTACACTTGCAGCCGTGTCTCCCTCCTTTTCCCCAACTAAATGAAAAATTATCTCTAAAATTTTATTTTAAATATCTATTGAATCACTTGATTTACAGAATAAATTAGCAAAGTACTAACTCATACCCAATTATTTATAAATTTGATTTACGGAATACATCCATTATGCTTCCTTTTTCTCTGAGTTTAAAACTTGCAACTTTTCACTCTATTACAAATTGAGTTGTTTCAGATTCGCATCAAACTTCAAATTTCATTACTTTTTATGTATAATTTAATTTTTTGTGAAATATAAATTTCTCGTTATTTTGGTGTTGTTTTGTGTTGCTGATAACGCTTCACTTGTGGGAAGGAAAAACGAAGGCTGTGGGAAGAGAAAACAAGGCTGGTGAGTTAGAGGGAAGGGATGGCGAAACTGCGAGAAAGGAGAGAAATAGCTGCAAGAAAAAATGGAAGTTGCGGGAGGGAAAAATAAGGTTGGTGGATTGGAGAGAAAATGTGTCAAAGCTTGGGAGGTAGGGTTGATGAGTTGGAAAATTGAGAGGAATGAGGTTAGGGAGCTATGGGAAGATGAAAGAGAAATGGAGGAGTTACATTTTTAAATTATTTTTTAAATAAAAAAGTCTACATATGATTAAAGAAGCGACATTAAAATATTTCAATGCCACTTAAAACGTCTTGTTAGGTTATATAACAGAGCTAATCGAATGAACAAACATGAAAAAAAAAATTTCATTCTAAAGTTAAGTAACGAAAAGAGTAATTTTGTTAATAAAATAAGATAATATAAATTTTTATTAATATTTTAATAATTTTACATTGTAAAAAATAAGATTTGATGATTTTATTGAATAAAAATATTTATAAAAATATAATTAATTTTTATAATTTTAATTTTTTTACTCATGCTTTGAGAATTTAATGTAATATAAAAAGAGATATTAAATTTTTAAAATTGAATGGATAAAAAAATATTAAAAAATATCTAAGATAAAAATAAAAAAATAACTTAAGTCAATAATTGAAAGTTAAAAATAATAGTTAGAATAGTATTTGTATAATGTTTTTTAAACCAAGTAATCATAAAAATAAAAACAAAAATGGAAGGCTGGTTCTCGCTTGTCCAAAAGCTTTGAAATGGATCATTAACCGAAGTCAAGAATCCAAACGTGAAAAAGGAAATCTGTGAAATGAAAAGGTGGTTGAAAAATGGGGGAAGAGAACCCTCCCTTTCTCTGTTTGTATTATGGTTTGAGAGAGGAAGAAGAAGCTTACGTTCAGATGCAGCGTTGGAAGCCATAGCTAAAGCTTCAGAAGATAGAGTTCCCAATTTAGTGCTTTACAATTACCCTTCCTTTTCTGGAGCATTCTCCGCTCTCTTTGCTCACCTCTTCCACACTCGTCACTCTCTCCCATCCCTTATATTGCCTTTTTCTTCAGTTCCTTCTCTCGCTTTCAGGTTCTTCTCTCATCCCGTCTTCCTCTCAGTTCTAAATTTCCTTTTTTTTCGTAATGGGGTGCTGCAAAGTTGTGGTTTTTGAATGACCCTCTTCATAAACATACCTATTTGTCAAAACAGGGTTGAAGAATTGTGCATTCAAGGCCTTGAGACATGTTATTTTCTTGACTTTCTTCCTCAAAAGGATTTCCTCTTCAACCTTTCCCGTCAATCAAAATGCAAGTAGGTTAATATTCATGTTTTGCTTTTTGTTTTCTTCTTTTTTTAACTCTGTTGATATTATGTATATTTTGTATAATTTATCATTTGGTTTTGATTGCATGTTAATTTAGTTACTTTAATTTATGTAGGGTTATTGGGTTTGATCATCGGAAATCAGTGCTTAGAAAGATTCCCTCTGCCAGTGATTGCCCTGATAACATTACCATTAATGTAAACCTTGAGAAGAGTAGCTCCAGTGCTGTTTATGAGTACTTTGCTAGCAAACATGAGGATACTAAAATTTCTTGTGTGAGTAAGAATTTCAATTATTTTGTGTGCTTTGGTTTACCAGCATAACATACAACAATTGATGAGATTGAAAGATTCCTAAATTCCGTTAAGGATGAGGTTCCAAGTTTGGTGGATTCAAAAGACAAAGGCCGTGTGGAGCTGATTCTTAAGTATATTGAGGATGGAGATCTTCGCCGATGGAGCTTGCCTGGCATTAGGGCCTTCAACATTGGACTGAGTGAATGGCGATCAAGGTTTAACTGCGTTTCTAATCCATATATGTACAAGCAGGCATGACTGATCATCTTTTAAGATCTTCCTGTGTTTTCTTCTTATTGTTGTTGTTGAGTGAAAATTTAGAGTTTTACTTAAATTCATGTAAATTATGGATTAAAAAACAAATTTGTGAATTCATGGCATTTTCCTGTTTCTCAAAAGTATGTAGTTTACTTAAGCCAAGTCAAATAGCGCACCCAGGCAAACTGAAGAAATTCTGCTGTTTAACCTACATATCTATTATTATTCTGTAAGATAGAGAGGTTGTAAACATGCCTTACAATCTTTTCCTGTCAGTTTTGTCATTTGTTTGTTTCCTGCCTGGGAGGAGGGGAAAAAAATCTCATAAGTTCATTGGTTGTTTGAAGTGAGCATGACTGTACAAATTCAGAATTTTTCTATGACACTGTCAGAGAGCGATACTCTGTTATCGCAACTCATCAGGCCATAGCACCATCTATTGTGTTGCTTACTTGATTTTATATGCCTTGCTGTGTAATATTCAAAATGCAACCTTCACTATTCTTGATGAAAATTGTTGCCAATATCTATCAAGTTATTATGTCTTTGCTGAATATTTTCTGTCCTTTGAAAAATCTTCATTGCAGTTGCTCAAATTAAGTGCTGAAGATTTAATTGCTAAAGGAAATTCATATCTTTCTGCTCGCCAGAATTCTGCAAATAAATTGCTGGGAAAGGTTTTCAGGGTTCGACTGGGTAGAGGATTTTATGGAGAGTGCCTGGTAATGTTCTACCTAATTAATTATGAATCAAAATTCAAATCTGTACCATGAACTTCCTCTGCTGCTTTTTTTATTGCTCAATGTACAACTAACTCTTGTCACTTGTCAGTTTAATTGACTATAATGATATCATGCAACTATAATGTGCCGCTCCCAAACCTGATTTTTTAATTGAAATTTATAAGTTTTGTCGCCATGATTGTTGTTTAGGGAGTTCGGGTAGATGGGAACTCTAACTTAAGTGACGAAATTGGCAAGCTTCTTAGCGTGAAAAGTGCTGCTACTGGTCTTAGGTGAGTTAATTTATTTAGAAGAAAGGTTTATCAAATCTATGTTTAATTTGATATTATTATCATGTTACTAGAATAATGTTCACTGTGATTGTCTGACAGCAAGAAAAGTTTAATTTAAAGATTGACTAACTCTAACAAATTTTTCATCAGCCTGATGATTGGAATAATAATTACATGTGGAAGGTCTTGCTATAATAACAAAGGCAACAATTCTAATGACTGAAATGTCAAACTTGGCCTAGCAATAAATTCTGTTCAAGAGCTCTGCTATGGCATCAGCATAGGCTTCTTTATATATATTCAAATGAATTGTATTTACATTTTCAAAAAGCAAATAGTAAATTCTTCTCATAACTAGACCCTGAAAATTATAATAACCTAAAATAGTGACCTCATATTCCAGTGTCTGTATTTTACATCACACTTAAACGTGTCATTCATTGATGGTCTCCAACAATCAAGTCTGTTTTCTGTTGAATTTGATGCCGTTTATCCTTGTTTGATTCATGTTCTTTGGGGTTAAGTGAAGGATCTAAATTAGGCTCTTGTGACAGCTTCTTATTATCTTATAACTATGATTGCCTGCCACTGCCTTTTGTGGATTTTTTAATTGTATCAAAGAATTATTGAATTATATAATCTGATCAATTAGATGTTTTCATCAATGACAGGCCCATAGGAGCTGTGATATTCATGCAACGGAATAATCTGAAAATGTGCTTGCGTAGCACTGATCGTGCCACTGATACCTCTGAAGTTGCAAAGGTGTGCCTTTCTTGTTTAACCCTTTTGATTTTTTTTTCTTTCCTTTTTTATCTTTTTGCACTGATACACATTAATGGGATTTCTGCTCTGGGAACTTGAAGGCGTATGGCGGAGGTGGTTCCCCAAGCTCAAGCTCCTTCATGATAAGGATGGATGAATATAACAAATGGATTTCAGGGAATTTGTCATGATTATTTCTGGGTTTGAGTATCTAATTTTGGCTTTTATATTTTGATATTTATGGAAATCTATCTCAGTTTATTACTGGACAAGCTTTCTGTTGGTGAATTACATGCTGAGTTGAAACTGTATAGTTAGCATTTGTGGGTCTATTACAAGTTGATTAGCAGTATTGTATGAATAGATTCATTTTTGTTAATCTTTTACCTACATTAAATGGTTTTCATTTGAAGCAAATGTTTTTCATGACTTAATGATTCAGTTTTTCTTTTTTAAAACATGGTGCATGATAGATATTGACAGCTTATATTCTTGCATGCGAACCCGATCATACGATAAATTTACTCACTGCCTTTAGAGATTGAAATCAGCAGTGACAGCATGATGGCTTGCCTACTTGACGTAATAAATCACTTGGTGTAGCAATTGATGGGATCCTATTCAGGATGAGACAGATAATAGTAGAAAACTAGCATTCCCCATATGGTATTGAAGGTGATGATGCTATTGCTACTGTTCTCAAAACAGATATGTAGATTGTCCTGATATTGATGCTGCACATGATGAGACTAGGAAAAGAAGGTAGAGTTTGAGCAAGATGGAAGCATTTACTTCAAGGACAAAAGTTGAAGATAATATTTGATTTCAGCCCACTAAAAAAATCTTGACATTTAATTTCTAATGAGTTTGATACTCAACACTGCTGCTGGCATTGTTTCCTCCTCCACCAGTTGCCAACATTACAGATTTTGGTTGGACTTGTTACTATTTCAATTTTTATCATTTTCAGCCCAAATCTGTGGTTAAAAATATTTTGGAGCATTAAGTAATAAATAGGTTCAGTGAGTTCTACACTTATATATCTTCTCTTTTATACGCATCCTTTCTTAAGGTGTAAATATTATTGTTTACAAAAAGCCTGGGTTTCTTTGACCAGCTCCGCTGCCAAAAAAAGTGAAACTGAAATTTTATCGACTAGTTTCTTAGATCGATACATTTTCACTCTGGATTGGTTCGTGGTTGTTGTGCTGAAGAGTTCAATATGGTCCTAAATTCAATATGATCACGAACAGAAAAGTTCAATCAAACAAAAGAACTAAAGAGAATAACATCTCCAAACAGTGAAACAATCTTAAATCAAAAACCATTTATACATTCAAAATAAATAAACAATACCATATCAAAAAATTTAAATAAATCTAGTAACACATCGATAATCCAATCTATTTACCATACCATAGAAACCATTAAAAGAAACCATGTATTTTCAACAAGTTCATTAGTGTTGCTGTTTAAAAGAAACCATTAAAAGAGGCAGAGTCATCAATTTACAGGGCAACCATCAACCACTATACCCTTAGCTGTTGGACAAGTTGCAAGAGGACAATGCTCACCACCAGTTCCCCACCAAGTGAGACTTTTGTTTTCCAAGCCTAGTGTAAAGTAAAGCAAAACTGCCATGAATGCAACTCCAGCATCAAGTGCTGCAGATAGAACATAGTTGTATCTCTGCCACCATTGCTTCCTGTAACGGAAGACGAAGAAGTTGAAAATTGTTCCAGCAATAATCCATGCATTGTAGTTCAATGGTGTTGCTGGTGGCATCATTCCAGTTGCTCCCAGAAGTACGGGAAGGTTAATTAAGGGAATCCATGATTGCTTGGGGAATGCCTTATGCAATAGCCAAACTATTATGGGCCCTATTGCACCTCCAAGGAAGAACCAATTCAATGCTTGGTAGTTTCCATGACTACCAAAGATCCTCTTAGGTCCTACCAGACCCCAGATAACTGATGCATCAAAGAAAACACGGTCACTGGGACATGTCCAGGGACTGCCTTCAGGAAGGAGATCTTCATGACATATGTTATCTATGGAGTTCAGCAACCACCATGCTACACCAATGTTGATAGTTCCAGCAAGCACTGTACCGATGAACTGTACACATTTGGACAGATGGAGTGCTTTAGATACTATAAAAGAAACATAATTATAATGCAAGCTGGTTTTATGTGACACAAGGTTAGGATAACATAGGCATGTAAGGGATCATTTAGCACGAATTTGCTTTATTTTGCTGCATAAATATTTTGTCATATCAATAATATGTTTGGATTCACATTTAAACGTCCATGCATATACGTTTACTTTAACGATACTAATTGTAATTTCTGCGATAAATTGATGTTTACAGGTCCTTAAACGTGAATGCACGCACACTGCTTCCTAAACAGGAAGTGCTACTCAAACTAGTTTGTGGTTTATTAACAATTTTGCATTTCCCATTCAATTTGTAAGATTTGCTTTTAAAATAAAGAACTACTCAATCCTTGGTTAAATATTCTTCCAACATATATGATGCAAATGTTTCCTTTAATCAAAATTTAGCACCTACTATTGCGATATGCATGCATCTATGTAGAGGTTGACCGTGGTAAATAAGTAGTTATAAACCTACAAAATTAAATAAAGATGATGAATTTACCTGAACTAAAAACATTGATCTTGGAGGGATCTTCATGTAGTGACCAAGCTTGAAATCGCTAAGGAAGGAGACAGCCTGAGCCATGCTTATGTAACCATAGGTTTTGAAGCATACATTTGCTATTGGTCTTCCGGGGTAAATGATACCAAAGATATACTCAGTAATAATATTTAGTCCTGGCGTCTGTAGACAGAGCATAAGATTATTAGGTTAAACTTCTTGTATGGTCCTGCCCCCATGAAATTGACTATCTGACTAAAATAACATTGCCATACAAGATACAGATTTCATGGTTCTATCTAATCTTAAACTATTCTTATCTCTATAATTAATCATTGAAAAATCATTCTACGTTGTGCATTCATATGCTATGATATATATCTAGTTTGTCATAAAAAGTATAGAAAGAGGTATCTAACTTGTCCATGCCAAGTTAGTCAATAAAGGTACAAATGGAGATTGCATTTTACATGTATTAAACGTTATTGGATAAAATGAATTAAGATTGTAACCTGGTTTGTGGTGGCAGATATGATGCTGATTGGGAGTGTAAATATAAACGCCAAGGCTGAAGCAAAGACAAGTCCCCACCAAGGCATCTGAATTTGGTTTTTTAAAACGATGCATAGCACAGAAGAAACCACTAGCGTCACGACCAGCAACACATAAAACCACCAAGAAGGTATGTCCTCGTATTTTTTCATCAGTTTTGTGTGGATATCTTCTTTTCCCTTCGCTGAAGCACGATACCGCACCATAATCTCCCTGAATGTTTAGGTCCACATTACCACATCAAAATATAACAATTTTCATTGTTCTTTTTTATTCTCTTTTCTTTTCTTGCATGATATAGCTTGTAGCACTAAAAAATTTTGCGCAGCAAAGCGAAAAAAAGTACATCTTCAGCTATGTTACGGTGTGTACATCTTCTTAAGTTAAGATTTAATATTAACTTTTGATACTACTAAGAAAATTGCTGAAAAAACATCATAATTGATCAACATAATCTCTTTCTTTCAAGAGAAATGCTAGCAACACATCCTTTTGAACACACTTCTCCACAAACTTTCTATGATTGGTCTACATTTTAAAAAGTCAAAGCATTTACCTCATAGATTGATTATATTTTAAAAATTACTTTGAATTTTGTAAAAATTAACCAATCACAAAAAGTATATTAAAGAATGTAGTAAAGAAAATGTGTTGTTAACATTCTTCTTCTTTTCAATGTCATAAGTTTTCTCACAATCATATGCAACTACAGAGTAATGTAGAATTTATAAATTATACAAGACTATAGCAAACTTAATACCTTCCATAGAAGCAAGCAACATGAGTCAGGGTGGCTGCTATGGTGGCAAATCCAAATCCATAAGTGAGAGAGAAAAACACACTTAGATGAATTCGACCTTGTTGGTGATACTTTGCAATGTCTAGCTCAAACTTTTCATTGACAATAGCAGATATATTGTATTCTTGGCCTTGGGATGTGAACAAGTCTGAGGAGAAAATGGGGAACGTATGTGCATTGTACAAATTGAAGCCCCAGTATGCTATAGGAATCACAACGTAGACTATCAATGCATAGCCCATAAAAACATTGACAATGGCAAAGAAAGGTGAGATAAGAGGACTGAACAAGAATGATGCCACAGCACTCCAGTCAAGTGTGAGGGCCCCAAGTCCTAAGCCATTCATGCCTGACCCCAACTGCTGAGCCCTCACTGATTTGGAGAATATCCAGCAGATCCATGATATGTTTGTTAGTGTTGAGAAGAAGTACCCAGGGATCACATACCATGAAAAACTGCAAACTAGCGCAACAAAGAAAAACTTTGCCCGGGAAAACCGGTGGTCATCTGTCTCATGCAAAGCTCTGCATATCAACAAGGTTTCTTATGTAAATATATATATAACATTGAGAAGGGCACAACATTTTTTTTTTCCTTCTTTTTTGCTACATATACCGTGAAATGCATACTTTAAATGACTGTAATATGGAAATGTTACATTGCTGTGAAGTCAGAAAATGATGTCAAATGAGATAGCAAAAGGATAATGCTGTACATGCATGGCCACAATTTGTACGTATTATTTAGGCAAAGTGATTGGAGGGAATAAAATTATGTCTCCATAGTATTAAATTAACAAAAAAGGAAAATAAAAGAAAAGCTAACAACTAAGAAGAAACTGTTATTTTAAAAAGAGGGGGAAAAGTGCTGATGCATTGTTTATAAATTGAAGGGATAAAGAAGGAAAAAAATAAGAGAGACTTAATCTTAAGGCCAACTTTAATGCTCCTTTCTTGGATAGTTAGTACATACCTTGGTTTTATATAAAAAGTGATGAAACGGGTAAGTCAGAAAATGATGTGAAATGAGACAGCAAAAAGATAATGCTATACATGACAACAATCTATTATCTATTATTTGTCTACAGTAATATATAAAAACAGAGACTGAAGCTCTGACAAGGCCTTTTAAATTATTTAAACTTCTATCATTTTATCACGTAAGCAAATTTTACACATTCTTACTTTTGTGTCTTTTTAACAATTATTAATATTATGTATAAATGTGAATCAAATACTTTAATTGATATTCAAATCATTATACTAATTTATGATAACTAATAAATTGTCTCAATTTCCCATTTTCAAGTCATTAATTTTAGAGAAGTCATAATCTTTAACCATGACATTTCTCAATCCATTCCGATTTTTTTTTATATATTTTTTTATCATTCTCCATAATTTTTTTAATTATATTTTGAATTGAATTGGTTTCTTTTATTTTGAAGAAAATAATAAAATTTGATCAAGCATGTATAAATTTAACATGAAAAAGTATACTAAAGAAGTTAATTTCTATGAAAAAAATTAATGATTAATTTTCTCATATCTATTATACTAAACTTATTTAAATTAGCACAATTTACAATAGGATTAATTGCAAGTTATAAAAGGGTAGTATTTGAAAAATTAGTAAATAATGTCATCAACCCATGTATCTCACTAACATAAAGAATATAATATTACATTAAAATATTTATTATAATTTACATATCAGTATACAAATGACAGCAATTGTCTCATGATACTATAAATTATTATTTCGAGAATCAAGGAAATAAGTACTTCAATAACTAGTATGATGAATTTATTCTGTAAAATAATACTCTTTTTTTTGCATTGCTAATTTTGCAATATTATAATGTTTGACAATTCCTATTCAAGTTCGAATTAAATAAATTATTTTTTAACATAATTCTAATAAATATTATTTATTAATAATTGCTCCTGTTTAATGTATTTTAAAACATCTAGACTAAAGTATAGAAAGTATTAAACAAAGTAAATCAGTAATTAAATTTCATTAAATCATATAATAAAAAAATTCAAACAATAAATTTGAACATTCTCTTTAAAATTATCAAAACATATTTATAATTACAATACTTTTTCTTCATTAATATTTTTAACTAGATAAAACAATTTCAATATTTTTAAAAATCAATTTATTATAATTTTTTTAATAATTCCGTTGATCAATCGATTTTTACCTTAGTTATTTTTCGATTCATTAAGAATTGATTATTATAAATCAATCATACAGTTAATCTTAAGACGAAATTTAATGCACTTTTCTCGGAAAGATACTTATCTTGATTTTACTGAAAAAAGTGATGACATGTGTAAATAGGAATGCTAGTGTGAGACTGTACTTTGATTAGGGTGGATAATGAGAAAGGAAAGGCAAGGGTTTTGGAATAAAGTTGTTTCAAGAGAAATTTTTGACAATTGAGTAGCGATATTAAACAAGTGAAAAGAAAGAGATGAAAGAACAACAAAGCCAAATTATGTTAAAAAAATTATATTTTTCTTAAAAGAACGCAACAATGAAGGGATTAAAAAAGGAAAGCCATAAATCAAATCTTAAAAGATGATAAGTAAAAATAAACACAAGGATTTGTGCCTTCAAACATGAAATGAGTGTTTAAGGGTAGAGTAGAGTTAATTTAGTGGGTTATAAGAAACAACAATATTTACCAAGGAAAAGAACAAAATCTATCTGTAAAAGTATAGAAAGGCAAAGCATATATACCGGAATAGAGAGACCTGGACGAGGGTACCGGGCCACCACATATGGGCGGGCTCTACCACGTACTTCCTCAGCAAGCCCGCCCACCCGTATCCTAACACCTGAGTGGTGATGATCAGAACCCAAGAAGCCACGAAGGAGATGCTCCTTCCATAGAAGGCTTTTATGATGTTCACGATACTCACCGCATAAGGCGACCCCGACCCGAATGCACTACCGGCATTCGCGAATATCGTTATCAGAACGTGCTCCTTCATGTTAAAAGGACCCGGGTTCAGAGAAAACTGCTTCCCACCGAACCCCGCGATTCGGAACTTAGTTGCCGGTAGGATCTTGGCCATGAGGTGACCTAGAGGGAGCGTCGCCACTTGGACTGTGATTTGAGTAATGACGAGTGGCTCCGTCCTGTAGGCGAAGAACTGGTTCAGGAAGGATAACAGGGCGCACGATAGCAGACCCAAGAACCACATTCGGAAGGTCCATACGGGTATGGTGGGGTCGTCGGTGTTGGTCACTGTCAATCTCACTTCTTCTATTGGTGACTCCTCTTCTTCTTCTCTCCCTGTTCCCATCTCCGTGTCTTCCCTCTTCACTGTCGCCATTTGCATGCTACCTCGCCTTTAGTCTCGTATAGGAATAGAAATAGGTTAGGTATTCTCTCACGACTATGATTTAGCCTTTTATAGCTTAATTTAGTTTAATTTATTTAATTAATAAATTTTAAAAAATTTAATTATAAAAATAATTAATTAATTAAATAGATTAAGTTTGAGTTTAAAAAATATTTTATTATTTTAAATTAAAATTTATAATAATATATTAAATTAATAAAATTTTAAATAAAAAATTTTAGTTCTTTTTATTTTTATTAGAGTTAAAAAATATTTCTACTAAATATTTTTTGAAAGAGAGTCTTATTAAATTTTATATATATATATATATTATATGAAAAGATATTATTATTTTTGTATTTTAAATTTTTATTTATTATATTTACTAATTTTAAGTCTAAAATTTATTTAATTTTATTATATTTATTAATTTAATGTATAAGACTTTATGTTATTAAATTTGTTTAACAATTTATAAATTAATATTTTTTATTGTACTTTTTGTATATATAGTAATTTATTTATCTAAATTAAATATATAGTTTAAAAATAATAAATAAAAATATATAATTTTATTATACAAATTTAAGGTATTAAATTATTTTTTTAATAGCTTATTTAGATATAAGTCTTATGACTTTTAAAAGATATAATTAGATAGTTTAATAATCTATTTAAAGACATACTTTTAAAAAGACAAACTAATTTTAATAAAAAGCTTAAATAATAAGTCAAAATTATTAGACAGATCAAGCTTAATTCTATACTAACTTATTTTTATTTCTAATTTCATAAAAGAGGATATATAATATGTTGTATATCCAAGTTTAATTTTAATGTTTATAAATTTTTTTAACAAACAAATAATAAAAACAAATAAATTATCTCAACAGCTAGTGAATGTTTTCCTTAATTGCTTTTTCATTGTAAATTTATTTCTATGAATCATTTATTACTCTTAATATTTCTATAAAAACTTTATTATTATTGATTACAATTTTTTAAAATTTATTAAAATTAAAAATGTTGCGTGCAAGAGGTAAATGTAATATTCCTTTGGCCGCTTAATTGCTATGAATCGATACAATCCATATATCAATAATTGAATTATGTTTAGTTATATTTGTCAAAATTTATATTCAGTTAATTATATAGTTTAGAGTAATAGTAATGAAAAAAATAAAAAAATATTTTGTACAATTAAGTATTTTATCATTTTGTTTAATGTAATTATATTTGATATTATTTAATATAATAAAATTTAATATTCTATATTTTTATATTTAAATTATAATTATTTTAAATATTTTTAAACAAAATAGTTTAATTAAAAATATAGACCAACACATGCAACGCAAACACTTGTAACAAAATTTAGGTAACCTGAGTTAAAAAATTTGGTATAAAAAAATATAGAAAATTTCTTAAAATAATTTTTAATTTTAAAAAAAATTGTTAGTTTTTTTTATCGTTCTAGCATTTTAAAATAATAAATCATTTCTGTTGTTGGTCATTTGTTGTTTTGTCTTGTTGACTTTTAAAATTATTGTTTAGATAACGTTATCATAAAAAAAATTATTCCTTTTTCTTTTAAAAATAAATTTAAATTATTTTACAAAACAAATTTAAGGAAAGAAAATAAAACAACATCAAACAATCATCTTTCATCTTTTCATCTTATCTTTTTCAATTTTATTTTTTTTAATCAAATCATAATTATTTATAAGAAAAATGTAACGAATTTTGTAAAAAGAAATAAAAAATTAATAATACATTGAAATGCACCAATTAATTTAATTATAAGAATTTTTTAAAATTAAGTATAAATAATTATGATATAATTAATTTTAAAATATTAAATGTAATTGAAATATATATCAAAAATATAATTATAAAATTTATTTAAAATATATGCTACAACAACAGCAATTTATATTGGGTGTTATAAATTTTATATTAAAAGTTAGTTACAAACTTTTGATTGAATATTTTATAAAAAACAAAAGTGGACAGTTCTTGAATCAACGAGCCAATTTTTTTATAAAAAAAAATCATATTATTTTTTATAAGATAATACTAGCAAAAAAAAAAATGCATAAACAGATCAAGTTTTATTTTTAAACATAAATTTAAATTTTATTTTACAAATCTAAGGAAAAAAATAGAACGCAAATCAACTCTCTCATATTTTTTTTCTATTTTTTATTTTTTTATTTAAATTATGATTAGTTATAAAAAAATTGTGATGACTTTTGCAAAGAGTAATAAAGATTTGTTTGCTTTTAAATTAAATAGAAATGGTTATGGTATAATTAATTTTAAATATTAAATGTAATTAAAAATATATATTAAAAATAATATTCTTATAAATTTTATCATGAAATCGATGTTACTCTCATTTGCGACAAAACATTATGGAAGTACATTTTCTTTTATCACCTTACTACATTTTTTTACATTATTACGAAAATAATTGATTTTTTCATCAATAAATAAATATATATATATATATATATATATATAATATTTTTCTTTCATTTTTTTTAGGGAATCAATGATTTTTAAACGTCACGTACTTTTACAAATTATCACTATTTTACCGGCCTAGTGATTATTACTCTCAATGAATGTTTTTCATCCAAAGTACAAATGATTTGTCTAATTTTTATATTATATTAAACTAATAACGGATCGTGTGCTTTTAGCTTTTACATCTGCGCACTTGCTCTATTATTTTCTTGTATCTTCTTGGTCACGTGGTTTAGCTAGTTGTCTGTTAATTTGACGATGACTTCTTATTTCTTAATTGACCCTATCAAGCCTTTGCTTCTGGTCGCAGATGCAATCATGTTAATTGATCTCCAGGGCGCCGGCCCAGACGTTGTTTGAAGCTCTTACATAAGAAGTCTCAATGCTTTGCTACTGGCCCTAGAAAGTTCGACAAAAGACTTCAACTGACTTGTTGTAAATTGCTGCCAAATTTATCAAATAAACTAATTATCATTGAAGGATCCCATTTCTTATCATGACTGAAAACAAGCAATTGATGTTCTTTTTCTTCTTTAAAAGTTGCCTGCTTCCTTAGCTCCACTAGTTCTGTCCAACAAAATGTATATATATATAACAGCGAACATTTAATTAAACTTTAAACTGAATATGCATACGGTAAAACACAATTCATCTGTCACAAACTCACAACTTAAGCTAAATCTAACATAGTTTATGAGAACCCATAAAACTGAAACAAACAAAAGAGAACAGTCTAACTCTAGTAATCAAGCAAATCATTTAGGTCATGATCATAATCATCGTCTTCTATATGATCTACATCGAGTTCATCATCATCGAAGTTAGCAATCTCCAAATCATCTATAGGGGCACCACTGGCATACTCTCCAACTTCAATAAAGTCTTCTTCATTTGGAATATTCAAATCCCAATTTAAGTTTTTAAAGTTTCCATCATTATCTATAATCCAATCATCATTGGAAGAAAGATCATCAATGTTATACTCATTAGCTTTTCTAACTTGCTTTTTCTTGGCTAATTTTAAATTAACCATAACGAAAAGAACATCATTCTTTGTATTTTGTTTCAAATGGTATCTTCTCCTTGTATGAACCTAAACAAATATAAAAAGAATTGATACATAAGCAAGTAATAGTGAATTTAAAAATGAAATACAAATTCACATCATTGAAATTTTACCGATTCAAAGTCCCTCCAAATATGTTCACATCTAACAGCATTGCATGTCAAGCTTAATACACACAGCAAATTTTTGTAACTTTAGATGTTGATTTCCATAAGAATCCCACCACTGTGTTGGAGCTTTGGCATAAATGCCATTGTTGGCTAGTGCGCCTCCGAAAGACTTTGATTGACTCTTGAAATCTTCAAGCTGAAGATCAATCTCCACTACTTCTTCAATACATTCCACTATCCTTTCTAAACAAGAATATAGTCTTTCTTTGACTTTAAAATCAGCTTTAAATGTAAGACTATAATGTGATCGAAGGTTAAGGTAATAGTCGGTAGCATGCAAAGGACTAAAGAGTTGGTTGTCCCATCTTTCATCAATGATATCCTACAAAGGCATATAACTAAATAAAGGAAAATAATAATTCAGTTAGTTTTTAAACAAAAAATACAAAATTTAGTGAGAAGATATAGTTTACCTTTCTTTGACACTATTAAAGGCACTTTGTATCATCTCTTTAGCCCAATTCATTTCCTCATAAATGAATCCCATAGCTTGCTTCTCATTTGAATCCACCAAACGAAGCACTTTGATTAGAGGATAAGCACCCTTCAAACAAATGACAACATTTTTCCAAAACCCTTCATCCATAACCACATTTTCAACTAACTTTCCATCCTTTGTCTTTGCATACTGTTTGGATTTCCATTCACTGGATCTAAACATTCTTATCAATGCTCTCTTGTTGTCATAGAGGAAACCCAAAGTTAGGTAACCCATGGCAAAGCGAGTCACAGTCGGCCCTGCCAAATCCTTTCCTCTATTGAAGTGTCGCAACAAAGAAACGAGAGAAGTCCTTGAATAGACATAGGTTACAATTTTTTTTCCATTTGCAATTGTCTCCTTATGAAACGGTATCTTTTTCTCAAAATCCTCCAACATTAAGCCAATGCAATGAGCTGCACAAGGTGTCCAATACAACCTCTTCCTTTTCTCCATCAACATCTCCCCGGCAGCTGTGTAATGTGCTGCATAGTTTGTGATAACTTGGATAACATTTTCTTCACCAACATCATAAACAATATCGTACATCATCTCAAAGATTTTCTCAGCTGTCAGAGATATGCGTGACACATCAACATATTTAAAAAAAACAGTTCCCTTAGGACTATTTACCAAAAACTTTAGCACAGTCCTCTTTTCCTTGTTGGTCCATTCATTGATCATAATTGTGCATCCCGTTCTCTTCCAATAAGCTCAATGCTCCTCCACAATGTCCAATGTTAAATAA